TTTTTTCCGGTCAAATTAAATTCCCTAGCTATTTCCTGATTTTCCAGATTGGTAGAAACTTAAATGTATTGGTAGAAACTAAAACCCGTCTTATTAAATTCAAGATGGCGGATATGAAAATGGCCATTTTTCCAAAATGCAAAAGGCCGAAAAAAATTTTCGGGTAATGTTTTTCAAAAGTTAATAGATTTGATTGAAAATGGTTACTCGGAGGTTTTTGGGGTCGCTGATTACGAATCTGATGTTACTTTTTTAAAATTCAAAATGGCGGATCCAATATGGCGGACATATCCTACCAAAAAAAAGCATGAAGGCATGGGCAAGATCGAATATCGAAAATATCGAAGAGAACTCGCAGCGCGATTAGGAAAAAAGCATTGGAGAAAGGCATACTATCATAAGCAAAGTGCATGTTGCAGATGGAGCTGCGGTTGTCCAATTGTTGGCGCTAACTTTTAAAATGTTGATAGCCTTTTTTGAAATTGATAAAAAATAAATATTTATTTTTATTCATTTTTTAATTAAAAGTAATTAAGAAAATTAAATAAACAAAAAACTTTTTTTAATATTATTAATAACAATGAACATACATTCTAATTCAGCATCAGATAATTAAAACTAGACAAATGGTATATATTTATCAATTTATGTTTATTAAAAAAGAAATTAGAATAAATAAATTGAAATCAATATTATTGAAAATAATAAATAATTATTAATAATAGTAACAAAGAATATAATTATAATAGGGCAGGAGTTTAAATCTTATATTTAAATGTAATGAAATTAAAGTTATTAGAATTAATTCAAAATTAGGTAGCAAACTAAATTTAGAAATGGCGTAGAACAGTTAAAGATAATTCCCTATTTAATGCTTAGCGTTCGCCAGTTTCATATGCCTTACGCTTATATGTTTGTGTAAGTTTAATTGTATATCAAATTCACAAAGAAAAAAGAAAAATTGTAATTAATTAAAAATTAGGCAGGGAACTGAATTGAGAAATGGCAGAGAACGGCAAAGGAGACGGCCGCTTGCGGCCGTCGACTGCGCTAGTTTTTTAAAAAGTGATTGGATTTGCTTGAAAATAGTTACTCGGGGGTTTTTAGGGTCGCTGATCACGAATCTGATATCACTTTTTCAACATTCAAAATGGCGGATCCAATATGGCGGACAATTTTTTAAAAAGTAATTGTATTTGCTTGAAAATGGTCATTCCGGAGTTTTTGAGGATGCTGATTACGAATTTAACATCAGAACAATATTAGGTTTATTGTTGCTCTTACCACAAGGAGGTCGTCGTGCAAAAAAGCCACTTTTTTTTAATTCTATTTAAAATTTTTTTTTTTATTTTGCCTCAAAAAATATAGCCACTATCATGCAAAGTGCAACAAAAGGACACGAAAATTGTGCATTCAATGTGGTATATATATGTGCGTCACTTGTTTTTAATCAAACCACGTGTTGTGTTAGTCTCTTTTCCTTTTGATTTATCTTTTTTAGTTTTACTTAGAGAAACTTTTTAATACACATATACAAATTTCGAAATCACAATTTTCCAGGGTAAACCCGCTCACTTTATCTTTTCAAGACGGAACAGTTTTATTTTTTAAATATTAAAGTTCGTCTTATTCCCGTCTTATAAGTATGATTTATTATTGATAATTTATGAGTTATATAAACAATTCTATAAACAACAAATTGGTTTAATAAATAATGAACATAGATTTCATGAATTACAACTATGGATTTAAATAGTGTTATATTTTATTAAGAGAAAGTGAAATGTAGTTACAATTTTGGTTTTAATAAGTCATAAATTGTGTTATTGTTGAAATATAATACGTGAAATTATTTTATTCTAAATTTTAAATTAAAAACTAAGTGAGCGGGTTTACCCCGACTTCATGTGAGCGACTTTACCCCCAGTGTATTCCTCACATTTCAGAATAAATTTAATTAAATCTTTTTGAAATAAGATAAAACTATACATGTACTTCAAAAAGGACATCCAATAGCAACAAAAAAAAATTTGCCAAATAAATTAAGACTCAAAAATAATGATCGAAGAACTTAAAAATCCAAACAACGTTTTTTTTCTGATACCTCTAAAAACATTTGATTGCCTCTGATTCTATGTTGAATTCATGAAACTAAACGAAAGTTCGTTAATATAAGTTGAATGGTAAGTACTATTCACAGTATCAATATCTCCATCTTAAGTTGAGTTCATCGCGTTAAATCGCTGGTGAGCGGGTTTACCCTGTGCGCGGGTTTACCCCAGTCTCCCCTATAAAAAAATGTCATAATTATATAGGTGTCATAATTATCGTTGATTCAGATTTAGAAAGCAGAATTAAAATTTTATATTATTTATTTAAAAAAATATTAAAATATACAAAAAAAAATTTAAAATAAAAAAAAACAAACAAAATTTTAAAAATAAAATAAAAAAAGTAGCTTTTTTGCACGTCGACCTCCTTGTCGTAAGAGCTGGGCAACGTCATTAAAATTTTGTTGACGGATTACGGACGTGGAGGATAAACATAATATTGTTCTGAAGTCAGATTCATAAATAATATCCTCAAAAACCGCCGAATGACCATTTTGAAGCAAATGCAATTACTTTTTAAAAAATTGTCAGTCATATTGGATCCACCATTTTTAGTTTTGAAGAAGTGACATCAGATTCGTAATCAGAATCCCCAAAAACCCCCGAGTAACTATTTTCAAGCGAATCTAATCACTTTTTAAAAAATTGTCCGCCATATTGGATCCGCTATTTTGAATTTTAAAGAAGTGACAACAGATTCGTAATCAGCATCCCCAAAAACCCCCGAATGGTTAATTTAAAGCCAATCCAATCAGTTTTTAAAAAAATTAACAGCATATTGGATCCGCCATTTTGAATTTTGAAAAAGCAACATCAGATTCGTAATCAGCGACCCCAAAAACCCCCGAGTAACTATTTTTAAGCAAATCCAATTACTTTTTAAAAAATATGTCCGCCATATTGGATCCGCCATTTTGAATTTTGAAAAAGCAACATCAGATTCGTAATCAGCGACCCCAAAAACCCCCAAGTAACTATTTTCAAGCAAATCCAATTACTTTTTAAAAAATATGTCCGCCATATTGGATCCGCCATTTTGAATTTTAAAAAAGTAACATCAGATTCGTAATCAGCGTCCCCAAAAACTTCCGAGTAACCATTTTCAAGCAAATTTAATCACTTTTTAAAAAATTGTCCGCCATATTTAATCCGCTATTTTGAATTTTAAAAAAGTGATATCAGATTCGTAATCAGCGACCCTAAAAACCCCCGAGTAACCATTTTCAATCAAATCTAATAACTTTTGGAAAACATTACCCGAAAATTTTTTTCAGCCTTTTGCATTTTGGAAAAATGGCCATTTTCATATCCGCCATCTTGAATTTAATAAAAAGTAATTATGGATTTTTATAGCTGAGAGTTCGAGGACGCGATATTTTGTGCTTTAGAGACCATATTCTTTAGTTTTAAATGTCAAAATAATAATTGAAACATTTTTTTTTCATAAAAAAGTGTGTTTTTTTGTAATTAAATTGTTATAAATTTTTTTGAGATAATTATAAACAAATTTTAGCTTCATATTCAGAAAGAGCGATAAATTTTACGTCGGAAATGGTATTTCCTAAAATTTTTAACTAATTATTTCATACAAAATAAGAGTCGTGAAATCATGGTACATTTTGCGTCCTGGTGGGCGTTAATGGGTTATGAAAAAAATATAGACAGTTACAATTATTAGGTATAAAAATTTGAGTTTTTGTATTTAAATAATCGAATTCTAGAAGAACTTTCTGAAAATTATTAAAATTAAAAAGCTACGCGGAATATTTAACTAGAAAATAATTGAATTCTTTAGAAAATATTTATTAAAATTTTTTTTTTAAATAATCCAATCCTTTCGTGAAATTTTATTCAAATTGTTTTTAAAAAATTTAATTCCTGCGAAGAATTTTACTATTTATAAAAATAATTGGATTCTTCCGAAGAATGTTATCGCAGGAATTCAAAATTTAAAAAAAAAATTAACAAAATTAAACGTAAGGCTTCAATTATTTTAAAAAATCCATCTCAAGAATTAAATTATTTTCAAATAATTTTAATAAAATATCTCGAACGAGTTCAATTATTTATAAAAATTGTAATAAAATTTAAAAAAAAAAATCAATTATTATCAAAAGTTGTTATAAAATTCTTTGTCAATTCCAATTATTTTCAATTAAAATATTATTTAAAAAAAAACATTATTTTCAATAAATTTAAAAAAATTCTTCAAAATAATTTAATTATTTACGAAAAGTCTAACAAAATTAACTAATTTTTCAGTTATTTTTTACTGATTGCATTTAATTAACAAATTTAAAAAATAAAATTTATTTTGTATTTTTGTTATCAATTGTAATAAATAAATTCATATTTTCAACATTGTTTTTCTAAATAAATGAAATCGTTGGAGGTCAAGTGAAACTAATATATTTATCAATGGAAACTTTCAAGGAAACTGATGATATATTTATTCTATTGTTTTTGTTGTAAACAATAAAGGAAACGCTTTTTCCTTGTACAGTTAGTTTATAATAATCGTTAAAAAAATTAACCTACCTCATTGCATTTGAAAATTTCATTATTTTTTATAAGTTATAATTAGTTGATTTTATAGAAAAAAAACATTTACACTTATTTGTATGGAAAAATGGTGAAAATTTGTATTTGTTTATAACAGTTGTTTAAAAATACGTATTTTCCATTAAATTATAAATATTTATTAAAAAAGTGTAATTAAAATTGGTATAATTTTTACAAAAGAAATAACATTCATTGTAGTCAAAGCTTTTTTTACTAATTGAGTGAATTCATTCAAAAAGTTATCTTAAGGGAAGAGGGGTGGTAAATAAATTATAAATATATATAGATAATTTAAAAAAATCTAAAAACGGTTTTTCTTTTTTTCAGAATACCCTTCGGATCCGAAATCGATTTAGAACGTCATAATTGCACTTCACTCGTTCGAAGTGCGCCAGTTGTATCATCAGCAGTAAAAGTAATGTGTTTGGTATGCAACAAAATGTTTCCCAATAAAACTGAATATTTCTTGCATGAATTAAATGTAAATCATATGAGAAGCACTAAACCGGAATACGTGACAATATCAACGAATGCCGGTCAAAAAGCTTACATTTGCGCTCAATGTAAAACTGTTCGTAAAACAACTGATGAAATGAAAGAACATTGGACATTTCATCGTGCTTGGAGGGAAAAATTCATTTGTTCTTATTGTCCAAAATTCTTCGACTCTAATATTCATATTGTTGAAGCACATTGTAAAAATTGTTCGAAAGAAATGAATTCATTCTGTAAGGTTTCCTTTGAATTAGCCACTTTCAAATGTCAACCATGCAATCTTTACTTTGAAACTTCACAAGAGGCGAAGGAGCACAATTTAATTTGCCTACGTTCACAATTTGCAACAACATCCGAATCTTCCAATAAGCAGACTGCTTCGACTGTTAATTCATCACTTACTCCAAATTCCAAAACTTCGGCAAAAAAAACAAAGACTTCACCATCAATTCTCAGATTAACTGTTCCCTCCTCGGCCTTATCGTCAGTTGCATCGAAAGGAAAATCTGTAAATAATTCCGAATCCCAACCTCCAACTATACTTGATGGTCTTGCTGCTAAATTAACAGATCTACCATCCAGTTCAAAAGCCAGTAACAGTTTAAGATCATATTTCTCACAGGCAGTTCTTGATTGTACAGAAGAGGAAAATGTAAATTCCACCTCAAAGTCGAAAACCAAAAATGGACTCGGTTCAGATGTTGAGGTTATTGATATTCTCTCTGAAACCAGTTCAAAAAGTTCATCTTCGGACAAAGTTAGACAACCATCAAACTCAGTTGATGTGCCTAAAGATATGCCTTTATTGACGGATAAAAATAAAAGTGTTTCAAAAACCAGTCCTGGAAAGAAGAAGACGAAAACTTCCGATCAGAGTAAGGAGAAAAAGGAACAAGCAACTTTAAAAGTTAAAAAGAATCTAACGATGACTGCCATTAATCCTGAATTCGAGTCCTTATTGACTGAACTCGAAGGTATGGATATGAAACAAGGAAAGGATTCTAAACGTCCAAAGAAAGCGACAAAAAAAGTCTCTAAAGAAACAAAAGGCAAACAACTCACTTTGAAGGAGATTTTAAAAGATCCTTTAGAAAATAACGAAGAATTACCATCATCAGACGCTGGTAGTGTATCTTCAAAATCCGGAAAAACATCCACATTATCGGGAAGTAAGACAACTGACAGTCCACTACCGTTTGAAATGGTTCTTGTGCCAGAGGAAGAGAATCCAAAAACTGCCAATGCCACTGTCGAAAAATCATCATCACAGGTCGATATCAATTCAAATAAATCAACTCAAAAAGCCGCCAACAGTGCAGATCCCAAAGATGCATCCGATTCAAATTCGAGTATAATTGAGGAATACATCGAGTACATTATGATGGACGTTATGAGTGATAGCTCCACATCCCAAGCGAAAGAAACCTCAACGGAAAAGGTAACCAAACCACCAGAACCACCTGAAGAAACAGCACCCCCCGTTGAGAAAGTAGCACCCACCCGTTTACGTGTACGAAGTCTGGCGGAACTACAAGAGATCAAAATGCACCATCTCTGCGAAACCTGCGGACAGAGTTTCAACGCCGAGAAAGACTTTATCGAACACACCAAAAAGGCGAATTGCTCCAAATCAAAACCCTCCAAACAGAAATCAAATTACGATATCCAATACATTCCGAACCAAAAAACTCCAATGACAGTAAACTTTATTCCTCCACTATTGCCCTTAGGGAAAAATGTTTCAGTTCCCAGGTCAACAGTTCCACCGACTCTACATCAAAGTCGACTGAATTTCCCCCCACAGAACGAAGTGAATTCCGCCTTTAGTTCCAATTGTCATCGTTCTGGTGCAAATCCGATTCAATTGCCGGAACGTGTCGGCGGCAATGCACCACAAAAACGTCCCTCAGGTGCCGCGACAAGAATTCAAAATCTCTCACATCCGCCGCGTCAACAAACCATCACTCCAGCAATGATACAGCATCAGGGTTTACCGCACTCGTACACGAATCGCAGCGCGCCAGTGCGAATGCAAATTAGACCTCCTCCACCGCCCTACAATCCCGGTATGTCATCAGCACAACTTCCCTATCGACCAACCGACGCCTCCACAAGTTTAACCTGTACCACTTGTTTCTTTACTGCGAAAACACTCGCTGAATTCTCCGCCCATCTACTAGTGCACTACATGGAAAATACATCCAATAACGCCGCAAACCCTCAATTAAATCCCACCGATCCAAACACATCGGCTTATCAAAATTCGCAAATAATCGCCAGCGATATCTACGGTACCTCCTCAGTCGGCACTCCAAATTCATCGAGAAGAATTTATCAACAACCACCATCGAAGTACATCTACGATTGTCTACTATGCAGTTTCAAAACTGACAGCAAACCAGTGATACGCGAACACGAGAAGCATCATTTGCAAGCTGAAAATCTTCAACAATTACAAAAACAACAGATGGTTCACAGTACTTATCAAACGCATCCTCAACAACAAACGATACCGCAAAATGTTACAATGGTTCAATCGATAAATCAAACGGCAATTCCAATCGCCAGCAAGCCAACCAAAGATACAGATAAAGGTCCAGTTTTACTCTACTCGAGTGTAAGTAACACTGTTTTTCAATGTCTCCTGTGTAATAGTTTCTTTTTCTCCGTACACGAGGATTTTGCCAAACATTTACAAACAGTTCATAAACAATCGCACAAGGAGAATATACAACAAAATCCAACTGAAAGTGTATGCTATGTTTGCGATTATTGTGATCCGCCACAAGTATTTAATACTGAAATTAATTTGCGTAAGCATATGGAATTTCTGCATAATCACAGTTGTCACATATGCGGACAACGTTGCACGTCAAGAGAAATATTGCAGAATCATGTTATTAGTCACAAAATGGATGGTCAAGCTCAATAGAACATGTACATACAGTTTGGACACTTTTTCAAATAGTCTAGAATTATTATCAGTAATTAAAAAAAAGACATTTAGAAACATAATTGAAAATAGTAGAAAGAAAGGAAGTTCGCTTAAATATTAACCCTCTGGCATTGCTAACGATTGTTAATGTCAGATTGGACGCGATAAGTTAGTAACAGCAGAAGGTTAATTGAAAGTATTTTAAATATTTTTAAATTCTCCCATGATCTTATAAATGGGTTCGAATAATTAATAAGTTCTCAATTTCGTGAATTTCAAAGTTTGTGTTGTTAAATTGATTTGCCGGATAAAATTTCGTTAGCAGTTTTTTTTTAATTTTAGGAGATTTTAGGGGCTAACTAAAGGAGCATTCAGACCTCTGCAGACTGCCTGCCTGCGCAGGCAGAAGATCGTTCACACCTCACTTTTCGCGTTGAAAAATAAGGGGAGATTTGAATTTTAATAGATATTCAAATCTTCCCTCATTTTTCAACGAAAAAAGTAAGGTGTGAACGATCTTATGTCTGCGCAGGTAGGCAGCCTGCAGAGCTCTGAATGCTCCTTTAATGGCCATCAAAATTTGATGCGTGTTCATACTATCCGGCGGCTCAATTGTTTTGATAATTGAAGCAAGAAAGCAAAAAGTAAGTGAAGCAAAAGAAATTATAAAAAAAGAAAACAAGGAGAAACAAGCAAACAGTGCCTCTAACAGTTTTGACAGTGTACTTTGTTCGTATCGATAAAAAAAAGGTTATAGAAATAACTTTCCAGACAGTGGCCGTCACCAGAAGCAACTGCGCTTGCGTCACTACAAATCTCTCATTGGTAGAAAAAAACACGCTTATTTAAAGTGCTTTAATATAGTTAAATATTGTTGTTCTGAGAGTTGGCCGAGTCAGAAGTCATTTAAGAAGAAGAAGATATTTAAATATCAAAAGAAAAACAACTTCAAAAATGTAATGCACTGCGAAGAAAGATACCTTAAGAGGCAAATCATTTTAAGGTTATGCTGGTTTTATTTTTACCTTAATTAAAAGTTTTTGTTTAATTCTGCAAAATTAAAATCAGTTTTTATTGATTATTTTTTATATAATGAAGACTTAAAAATCGGTGTTGAGAGTTGGTCCACTTTAAGTATTTTCTTTTCAAAAATTACATGAAGACTTAAAAATCGGTGTTGAGAGTTGGTCCCCTTTAAGTATTTTCATTTAAAAAATTACAAACATAACCTAACATTTTTTTATTCTTGGGCACCTTTCTTCGGAGCTCTTCACAATAATAATCCATAAAACTGATAGTTATTCCTTCTAAATATTAACCTTAAACAAATTTAGTAAAGTTGAATGTCGATAAGAAAACATTTTATTAAACTTAAAAGTACTTAATTTTATAAATAACTCTTTTTACTGTTTTCTTGATATTTTCAAATAAGCGCGCTATTTTCTACCAATAAGAATATTCCTGAAGTTAGCGTCGACGCTCAGCATCGAAAACTATTGTTTGGAGTTTTTAGAGATGAAAATGTCACCAATTTCACTTCTTCCATTCATCTAGGGAATTGAAAAATTATTCAAGGCAGTTTTTCTAATCTACAACCTTTAAAAGATTGTTTTTGATTCTTTTAGATTTCATGAAAAAAAAATGTTTTTCAATGCTCAGCGTCGATACTAACTTCAGGAAATTAAAAATAAGGTCAGATCAGCGCAAGAGCGGCTGCTTTTGTTGACAGTCGTTGGCATCTCTGGAAATTGATTTTTCTATGGCCTAAGATATTTTACCTAAATCCGACAAGAGTCCTGGTGGCATGTGGACTAACTAGAAAATCCCATTAGTAAAAAAAGAAGAGACGTATTTCCGTCCTTTTCTTACTAATGGGATTTTCTAGTTAGTCCACATGCCACAAGGACGCTTGCCGGATCCAGATAAATTATCCTAGCTATGGTAACGGTTGCTGGGGAAATAATTGCAATGTTAAGCATTGTCATGACAACTATATTGCTTTATGGAGACTAGACTACAAGAGACCAAAGAAAATAAAAGTAGTTTTTTTTAAATAATTCATTTCAAGCCGACATTTGTCATTTGTGGTGTAAGCCGAGCATCTGAAGAATGCTTAAGGCATTGACTTCACTTCAGAAGTGTTTATTAAATTTTAGCTTATGTTATTCCTAAATTGTTTCTTAGGCTGTTTTCGGCATTCACTCCGGGTTAACTCTGGATTAACGTTGGTCCAATCATCAATGTCTCTTGCACTTAATGGTTTCCGCTTTCTACCGATGCTTTGACGCTGACATGGGATTCCACCCTAACCCGAAGTTAACTCGGGGCGAACGCCGAAAACAGCCTTAATAACTAAATTGTCTACTTTTCTTCAAATTAATTAAGGAGCCGAATCACTTTCATCAAACCACGTTTAAAATTTAATTTGTCTTTTCATTTAAAAATAGTGGAATCCATTTCCAAATGAATGAAAATACATTCAAAATAATGTTACGAATTGGTTTTCTAAACCTTAGGCGAAAATCCACTTCCAAAGGAATGGAAATGCATCCGAAATATTTTTACGATTTGGTTTTCTAACACCCCACACCTCCTTCTTGATGATCCTTTTGCCATCGTTTTAAATATTAAAATTTAAAAAAAGGGAAAAAAATAATACTACTTTGATCAATTGTAGTCCATTTCCATGTTTACGACACCGTACCATGTTTTAGTTTGAGGTTATGTCTGGCATTCGTATTATAGCGATAATTCGCTTCCAAAGGAATGAAAATCCATTTGAAATATTGTTACGATTTGGTTTTCTAACAGCTCCCACTTTTTCCTTGTTGATCCTTTTGCCATCGTTTGAAACATTAAAAATTTATTAAAAAAAGGAAAAATACAACACTACTTTGGTCACCTGTCAATACAACTGTCGAACCATGCTTTAGTTGGAGGTTATGTTTAGCATTGATTCTTCTTTAGGACCTAAAGTCCCTGAAGTTAGCGCCAAAGTTCATCACTGTTTCAATCTTAAATCTTTGGAACAATTGTTTAATTTTCTTCTATTTTTCGAAAAAAAAGTAGTTTTCAACGGTCAGCGTCGACTCTAACTTCTGGGACCTTTCTACTTTTGCTACACTGAAAGAATTTTGGGGAGGCTGCTGACTTTTCATGTCCGAAATTAGTGCCCCTTGCTCAGGGCTCGCAGCTCACCTCAAAAAAGCGAGCATCTACTCCCGAAAGGTGAGCTGCTGCCCCTGAAGAGTTGCTGCTTACCTTTCGGGACTAGATTCTCGCCTTTTTGAGGTTAACTGAGAGCTTGAGGCAGCAACCTCTAGCGGCACTCATGTAAAGCCTGCAGCCTCCCCAAAATTCTTTCAGTATAGTTTAATAAAATCTCAATAGAAGTAAATTTTCATTAAAAACAATGTTTTGTTTAATTACATTTTATTTGATAGAATTCCCGTTTAAGTGAATTTTTATTTTATATAGAATTTCCATTTAAGAGAAGTGTTATTTAATAGAATTTTCATTTAAGTAAATTTTTGTTTAACAGAATTTCCTTTTTGGCTAAATTCTTGTTTGATATAATTTCCATATCATAGAATTATTACTTAATGGAATTTCCATTTCACTAAATTCTTATATAACAGAATTTTTTAATAATAGAATTTCCATTTGGCTAAATGCTTATTTAACAGAATTTCTAAATGATACAATTTACAAATTTCAAATTCATATTTAATAGAATTTCTATTAACCAGAATTTTTATTTAATAAAATTTTCATTTAACAACATTTTTAATTGATGTAATTCCTATTTAACAGAATTTTTATACATTGAACTTTCTATTGATCGGAATGTTTATAAATCAAAGTTTCTAATAAACGGAACATTTATAAATAAAAATTTCTACTAAATGGAAATTTTATAAATAAAAATTTCAATTAAACAGAATTTTTATAAATCAAAATTTCCATTAAACGGAATTTTCATAAATTAAAATTTGTATTAAGCGGAATTTTTATTATTTATTCAAGGAAAAAAATCTATTTCATATTACAATAAGCGATTAATTGTCTATTATTAAGTAAACATTTACTTAAATCAAAAAATTTCAATTTAAATCAAAGAAATTGTATTTGAATCATTAATATTTCAGTATCTGAAGTATTTATTTGACTTAAATATAAATTATTTGATACAAATAAAAATTATTTGATACGAATAAAAATTATTTAATACAAATAAATATTTATTTGATACAAAGAACAAGTACAAAACAAGTAATCGTCTATTTCAATGAAAAACATTTATTTTAGTATTTTTTTAATATTTGCTAAAATTTCCGAAATTTAAAATGCTTAAATATCAAAATGAAATGTTTAACTTTTTTTTATTTTTTTTTTAGAAAAAATTTATTTTATTTTTTTTATACAATTTTTTTTCAAATGTTCTACTTTTTATTTAGAATTTTTTTCCTTTTTATTTTTTATATGTAATTATTAAGAAAGTAATTCTATTTTAAAGAAATGTGTAAATTAAAAAAATTTTGAAATTAGTATTTAAAATTATCTTTTTAATTTTTTTTCCTATTTAACAAGTGTCTTATTTTCAGTATTAAGTTTTCAAAAACCAGAAATTAGTTCAAAAAATTTTTTTCTTGGTAATTAATGATTAAACAGAGAAAGATTTTTGTTTACAGTCAAATGTCTTAAGTATTTACACTTTATTTTTGTAGCTTTAAATATATTTTAAGATTTTATAAATACTATAAAATTTGCAAAAATGTAAAAATCTCTTTTTTTAATCATTTTATACAAAAATAAATTTTGAATTCGATTTTTTGAAAACAATGTTTCATTGAGCTTTGCGTTACAACGAAATGAAAACCGATTTCAATTTGTGATTAAAAATATTATTTTTTCTACCAACTTTTTTTCTAGTTACAAATAATTAAATAATTAATTTCATATAATTTTTTTTTTTTTTTTTTTTTTAATTAACATTATGATTGAAACGAATTTTTGTTTAAATAAATTAAAATTGTTTAAATTGTTAACATTATGATTTAAATAAATTTAGTTTGTTTAAAGAAATTAAAATTACGATTTAAATAAATTACAAATGTTTAAATTATCAACATTATAATTTAAATCAATTTTATTTGTTTAAATATTGTAATCTTAATTTCAATCAATTTTAATTTAGATTTCAATCATTGTTAATTATTTAAATTAATTTATAAAATTTATAGTGCAAATTAATTCTTTCGACCAATTTAAATTTAAATAGACAGACAATTAATATTTTTAATTAACACAAATTGACTCATAACGTTCATCTTGTGATCTTCTCTTTACATTCTCAAATATTTCTCAAAAAATATGTATTATAAGTTTTTGCAAATCACATAATTAAATTTATTATTTGTAATTTATAGACAAATTGATTGGGAGAAAAAATATAATTCATGAGAAGAACAATTTTTTTTAAAATCTGCGCAAATTAATTTCTCTGTTAAACAAAAAAAAATTTTTTAGGAAATAAAAAAAATTTTTTTATTAAATTTCCTGATACAATTTTTTTGTTTAAATAAAAACTAATAAATTTAAAAATCGACAGTAAATTTTGTTATCTTATATATTTCGTACTGAATCTCAAATGATAAACGTTGTAAATATGTAAATTATTAGAATTATATATACATATATTATATATAATATTAATTAATTATGTAATTATAAGTTAAAAATATTATTTTAGTCGAAAGCTTAAGAAAAAATACTTAATTGTATTGTCCCACAAACAGGAAGTCACAAACAGAGCCTTGCTTAAATATAATAGTAATTTTTCATATTTACATTGAAAAAATAAAATCGCCAAATAAAATGAGGAAAGAAAACATAAAATAATAAATAATCAATTTTTTCCTATTTTCTCATATAATATTTTTTTAATGCTCATATTATTATCTATATCGTAGCGTAAATACCTATCAACTTTTTGATTATTGACGAAAGCATTTATACGAAAGAAAGAAGAAAAATGAATTTTCAACAATGTTTTCGTTAGACTGGTCTGAAATAAAAACCAAAATGTTCTGAATGAATGTAGTAATAGAATGTTCCGTTATTGTGTATGTTTTAAAATAATTTTATTTTCAAAAAAATTGTGTAACAAAATTATTTTTTTAAATTTTCTTTTAGCCCTTTGTAAGGAGGATGGAAAGGCAAATGTAAAAAAGAATAAAAATACCAAAAAAAAAAAAAAACGACGCACAATAGAAAAATAAAATTGTATGTCTCTTGAAAAATATAGAAAAACAAAAAAAAATTATAATTTCAAATAATTTCGTTAAGGCATTTAATTTTGACCTATTTTACGAAATATATTTTATTAGATATTTATTATAAAAAAATGTGACACGTCAGAATTTTTTACAGAATTGTTATTTGTTTTTGAAATAGGTAGCTTTTCAATAAACTATTTTTCTATTTCAGTATCTTTAATAATAATTGCAAAAAGAAAAATTAAAAGACCGTATAAGTTACAAGCAAAACAAAAAAATTCGTTCTTAAGTTTAAGAAACAATTTTAAAAAACGAAAAAATTTTTGATTAAATTTGCAATTTTTTTTATATGGTTCACAATTATTCTGAGACGCTGATTATTATAGGAATGAATGAGTGACGAACAATTTTTAAAAATGAAATATTGAGTGTGTTTGATAAAATAAAACAAAAAAAAAAAGAAAAAAAAAACTTGTGAAAGAATGTGAGAAATGCTACTGTAATTTTGATTATTATATATATTTTGATTGGAATATTTTTTTAAAAACTATTACATATTATAGCCTACCGTGTTATGTTTCTATTAAAAAATCTAGCCGAGAGTATAAAAATTGAATGATGGTTAAATACAAGAATATTGTAAGTTAAAAATAATTCTTTTTAAATATTTCCTCCGTATAACGAATTACCAGCAACGTAAGAGGACTTCGAATTTATTCTTTACATATGTAAACCTTCAAATTTGTTACATTATTGCGTATAAAAAATAGGAGACAAAGATTAAAAAAAAAATTATCTTCCTATTTTTAGTTGTATTATTATTAGTTTTTTTTGACAAGAATAATTTTTATTCAAGACTTCTTATATAAACTTTATGTGAGGGCAAAAATATATTATAACTCAAATAAATTAAAATTGTTATTTCATATAACTTCTCGACAATGTGTACGAAGATTTTTGCCCTTTTATTTATAAAATATAAACTGTAACATATTAATGCAATAAGTTACGTTATATGACATATATAGTATTCCAGTAAATTGTTAATAAATATAATTTTTTTTCTACATTTCTCAAGTGTTGTTTTCTCAAATTTTTTCGAAACCCCTACAATTAATAATTATTTGTAAATAAATAATATGCGACTATTTGCAACTATTACGAACATTTTATTTGTTAAAATTTTGATACTATTTTTTATTTATAAATTCAGTCCGAGACCTTAAATTTTAAAAAAAAAACCTATTTTTTAGAGTGAAAATTTATCTCTCTTTTTTATGAGACTTGTTCAACATTAATAGAAGACATAAATTTTTTTTATCAACAAAACTGTTCACATTTGTATAAACAAAGTATCTAAACAAATTCATAATTAACCATGTTTTTTAACAAAACAAATTTTTCTTTTCATTTGAAACTCGTTGGAAATAAGGAAAAAAAATACATAATATGAAATAAATTTATTTTTATTAACAATAAATAGATAAAACTTTTATAATAAACAAATTTGTAAAAAATTAATTTTTTTATTATGAAAAATATACTTTTATACCTGAGACAATTTTATAATAAATTCAACAGATTATTAACAAATTGATTTTTATTAAATGCTAATTAGTATATTTATTTATAAGAAAATTGTATAAACAAATCGTTCATCAGGTAAGTTTTCATTTATATCAAACTTGTTGAAGTTATTTCTAAACAGTTTTAATAGTAAAAATAATAATAATAATAATAAGTATATAGCAATAATAACATTAAATCATTAATAAAATTAAAATTAAAAAATTTTTTAAAACAAATTCGAAGTCAATTGATTTTGATTGAAAAATATATTTTTTAACCAATTCGCAGAAATAATATTATTAAAATAAATTAAACTGGATAAATTGTTGTTTAGCTTAATTATTCTTAAATATTATTAGGAGATTAGAAAAAACAATACAAAGTATTTTTTTCGAACACAATGTGGCGAAAGTAAAAACAAATTATGCAAGTTGCAATAAAAATAAACTTTTAGAACCCAATAAATTTACATACATTGTATTCACGCTTATTGTTACAATAATAATAATAATAATATTTATTTTTTACGTCATATGAATTTTTTATTTAAAGGAAATGAAATTTTGTTTCCTTGTTTAAATTTTCAGTAACTATTTAATTCATTAAAATAAATTTAAATAACAAAATCTAAATCAAAATTTTAAGAATAACTTTATAATTATTTTTTTTAATTATAATGAGAAATTTATTAAAATTTATTAATAATTTATTAAATTTAATTAATTAATTCAATTCTGTATGATTTTAGTTAGAAAAAATATAGGAAAACTATAGTAACTGGTCACAGACACAAGTGTTTACAGCAGGAAAGTTTATTAAAAAAAAGAAAAAGACTTAAATATTCAACGAAAGATAATTGTAAAAATTTATTGAATTAACCGCGAACAAATAATAACAAAACGATATAAAAATAAGATTATTTTCAAACAAGAGATAATAAAGTATATTGTAAAATGTGTTTCTTTATTACATGAATATACTGAGGGTCCCTGATTAAATAATATGAAAATAAACAAATTCGCGTATTCTTTCCTCGTGGATTAGAGACTTAATAAACCGTAAGAATAAAAAATTTTTATAAGTATAAACGCATGAAAGTTTATTTTTAATGTTAGTTAACAATTGAAATTTTTATACGAAATCCGCACCAATTCCAAACGAAAAACGTACAAATTTCTGCAAGTTTCCTATTTTATAAAAAAAATGCTAGACGTGTTTATATTCCTGAAATTTTACTATAATAATAAAACAATTTAACATGAATTTTATTTGACACGAAATCAATTTAACATACAATTAATTTGACACACATTTTAGTTGACGTAGAAGTCATTTAACATAAATTGACATAAAACTCATTTAACATAATTCCAATTTGACATAAAAATCACTTCATATAAATTTCATTTGACCCAAAAGATATTTAACATATAACTGTCATTTGACATGTCATTGACTTGCGATAAATTTTATTTGACATAAATTTCATATCACATAAGATCATTTTCCGTAAAAATATAAGGGCGAGTTTTGAAAAAGGCCATTCACAATATTTTTGATTGGTTCCATGTAAAAATAATGTTATGTTAAATGATTTTTAAGTCAGAGAAAATTTTTATGTTAAAAAGAAATTTATATCACATGAATTGTATGTCAAATGACATTTATGTTAAACGAAATTAACGTTAAATGTATTTTGTGTCAAATAAAATTTATGTCAAGTAATTTTTATGTTAAATGAGGTTTTATATCAAATGTGTTCTTATGTTAAATGGGAATTATGTTAATTGAATTCTATGTCAAGTAAAATTCATGTCAAACGAAATTTATGATGAATAAATTAAAATTAATGAAATTTATATCAAATTATATTTAGGTCAAATGAATTTTATATGAAATGAAATTTACGTTAAATGATATTTATGCCAAATTAAAATTATATCAAGTGAATTTTATATTAAAAGAAAATTCTATTAAATTATATTTACGACAAATGATATTTATGTAAAATGAATTTTATATGAAATAAAATTTTATGTCAAATAAAATTTCGGGAATATTCGTATGTCTGAAACAATGTAGATTTTATTATTATTATTTTATATTTTTGGCAAAATAATAAAAACTTTGTTTGAAAATATATTTCTTTTAAATTGCAGAACTGCAGAAATGTAGCTTTCGAAATTTAATGCCATTGATTTTAATTATAGTAATACAAATCTTTTATCAGTGTTGTCTGTTATTTTCTGATCGCCATATTAGATCCGCCATTTTGAATTTTACATATTGCAGGGATCACACTTACTCCTCTTTTTTCCTCTTTTCCCTCTTTTTATCCCCTTAAATTAATAAAATCCTCCAAAACACCTAAAATAATAAATTTTCTCCCCCTTTTCCCTTATTTTCAAGAAAAACTTGCAGAGTTTGTCATTTTTTGTAAGTTAGAAAAATTTTTAGTTATGCTGGGAAAAAAAATTTTACTTTTCGCAAACTTTGAAAAGATTTTAGTATTTTGAAACTTAAAAATCTTTTTATATTATTTTTCAATCTTTGAAATTGGAAATTTAGATTAATTTTACATTAAAAACTGTAAAATAACTTTTACTTCTAAAAAAAATTAAAAAAATTGTTTGGAATTTTTGACAAATTGTCGTATTAATTTCAGAATAAATTGTACTAAATTCAAAGTATATTGTACTAATTTTCAGTAAAACCTACTACGGATATTATAAAATTTACTCTGGAACTGATGATTTTTAATAGCAAAATTTACTATTTTCAATGTTCATTTTTTTATAAAAATTATTCAAATTTTTCTGGAACATTACAATTAGCCATTAATAATATTCTTATTTTTAGAGTAAATTTTACTATTTTTTAAATAAACTTTTCTTATTTTTAAATTTGAAGAAGTTAACAATTTTCCCGAATCAATCTACACAAATAAATTAAATATCTTAAATAAATCTCGATAAGCTCATGGGCTTCAATGTATCGACAGCACAGCTGCCCTAATACAGAAACCTGCTTATCGTATGGGCTTATGGGCTCGTATCCCACCATGCTACCGTTTATTCTGAGTTCTTTGATAATTTTGAAATTATTAATTAATTTCGAAAATATTTTTCAAATTAAGCAGATTTCTGTATAAGAGCAGCTGTGCTGTCGATACATTGAAGCCCATGAGCTTATCGAGATTTATTTAAGATATTTAATTTATTTGTGTAGATTGATTCGGGAAAATTGTTAACTTCTTCAAATTTAATATTTAATCACCGAATGATAAATTCACTTCCTTCAATTTTCTAATTTTTATTAAAAAAAAATTGTTTTTGAAAATAGTAAAAGTTTTTTTGGAAATAATAATTTTTAATATTAAATAGTATTTAGAGGCCTTTTACGGTTAAATAATAATAAATAAATAAATAAATAGAAATAAAATAATAAAATAAATAATAAAAAAAATAATAATAAAATAATATAAAATACTATTATCAATATTATTAAAAAACGGTTCTTAAATAAATTTATTAATTAAATTTTATTATTTTTAAAGGAAATTTTTCCAAGTCTCAAGTTAATTTTACTAATATTTTTTTCTGAAATTTACTTCGTATATCGTAAAACTCATGTAATTTTAAAACAAAAATAGCGTTGTAATAAAAATTATGATTAAAAATTTAATAAAAGTTACGGTCAACAGAGAAAGATAAAAGCAAATATCAATAATTGATAGAAAAAGTTTAAAAAAAAAAATTAATTTGATTTAAAAAAGCTGAAGTTAAAAGAAAAAGTAAAAAATAACTTTAAAATAAATGTTATGCACTATAATAATATAATTTTTCGAGATTTTTACTTAAATATCACCTGATATTATTTACAAATCTTGCAATAAAATTTTATTTACGTTGTTATAATAACAAAAATGTTATAAACTTATTGCCCTATGAATTTTTTTTAGACAGTAAAATTTTTGGGTCGTTGGCGTTTGGAAATAAAAAATATTTTTATTTTAGACAAAGTTATGAATATTTCAATGCAAAAGTGGTTTAGATCGAAACTACTATATTTTAAACCCATTAAAGAATTAAAAGTAGTGTTAAAAAAAAATTCAAACATTTCTAAAAAAAATGACACAACTTGAATTTTTACTGGGGTACCAAGTCAGTTAGGGTGTCAAGTGTTAATTTGCATTATTTAATGTACCTACTATAATATTATTTAATTTACCTGCAGTGTAAAGTTTGTAAACTCAATATTTATCTTAATTTGTTAGATATAATCGATTAATAATCGAGGCTGCATGTACAATTCTGCTAAATGAAAATTTTATCCAAATGATATAATTCGATTTTATACAAAATTTCTGTTAAAAAGTAATGATATCAATAATTTTCTCTCCAAAAAAAACTTTTAATTTGGTCCAAGATATTGTCTTTATCACCTTTCCTTTTTTTGCCTTAGCATAAATTTAATTTTAAATTATAAGAAAATATCTACATAAAAAATCATAACATTGGTATATCCATAAATTTACATTATCTCGATTATTATTTTACAAGGAAATAATTTTATTATTTGTTTTTGCTCTTGAAAAAGTGTGAACTATCTATAAATTATGCAGAATTGTTATCAGCGAAATAGATATGCCAGTCGCTCATGCAGGTATATAGATGAAAATATAAATGTGCGAACATGTAAAATATTGAGAGCACGATGCATCCAATAAATGTCAATGAGAGAGTAATGTAGGATTGCAATAAAGGAAAATTTCGACAGTTTTCAAAAAATGTCACGCAAGTCAAATACATATCTTGAACCAAAAGAAAAATAAATAAATAAAGAAGAACTCTAAAATCAAGCGAGTGGCTATTTTGTTTTTTCTTTGTTTAATAATAGCGCAATAAAAATTAATAAAAATCTCAATTTTTATTTTTGAAACCTTTATTATTATTTAAGAATTAAGCCAATATAGCACTTGTGTTTATTTCTCTTTTAATACTGGTAAACGATATATATAAATTCAAGATAAGGCGGTAGCTTTTTTTTGAAGGAAACAAGGGTTTTCCGTATATTAAAGTCATTGTAAGAGGATAAAAAGCAAAAAAAAATTTTTTAAAGATTATTTTTCAATTGGCACTACGATGAATCAATTAAGTAAGTTACAAATTTTTATTCTACTAGTTTTTGATATATTCTGTATAAATAAAGTTTTGTTTTTTATAATTTATATAATTTAAAAAAATTTAGTTGATTTTTTGTAGCTTCAAAATTTAATTTGCTTTTTATTTATTTTTTCGACAATTAAACTTTTAATAAATTGAATTTTTAATCATTTGAAATTTAAAGCAATTAAAATTTGGATAAATTGAAATTTAAATTAGTTTGATTTGTATATATGATTGAATTATTTATAATGATTATACAATTTAATTGAATAAAAAGAACAATTTAATAAATTTAAAATAAAAATTAAATTTTTCAATTTTTAATTGAACAAAGACGAAAAGTTGATATTGACTAAATTTTATTTGCAGAAATTTTAATCTTCCTGGGCATTTTGCTAATTTTTGGCCACACAATTGATGCAGTTGATCCAAATTGTTTTTTCCAAATGGATATATTGCCGGGTCGGATGTATTACATAGCTAGTCCTAATTATCCCAATCGTTATGCGGGAGCAAATTCTTGCCGATGGAATATTAGAGGTGCATCTCAACTTCGCGTAAATTGTGAAGTATTTGAAGTTCCCTCGGTAAGCTTTATCGGAATATTTATTTATTTGACATAAATGTAATTGGAAACAAAATTCATTTAGTATAAATGCTCATTAGACAAAAAAATTCAATTAACATAATTTTCATTTAACATAAAACTCAAGCAGCATAATTTCCATTCTACATAAGAATCACTTGACATTATTTTCATTTAACATATAAATTATTATTATAAATTTTATTTCGTACAAAATTCATTTCACATAAAATTTGTTTAACATAAATATCATTTGACATAAAATTCAATTGCATTGACATAGGTATCATTTGTCATGAAATTCTTTTGACATAAATTTAATTAATTTAATATAATTCTCATTTGACATAAAGTTCATTTCACATAAAAGACATTTAACATAAAAGTCATTTGACAAAAAATATCATTCGACATAAAAGTCATGCACAACAAAATTCTCATTTGACATAAAATTCATTTTACACAAATTACATTTGACACAGAAATATCGGCGCGAATTTTAAAAGTAACCAATTAGATATTATCAACAACATTGTGACTAGCCAATTTTGAAATTCGCGCCTATATTTTCAGGTCAAATGATCTTTATGTAAAATGAAATCTATGTCAACTGAATTCTATGTCAAATGAGAATTATGTTTAATGAGTTTTATGTCAAATGAAATTTGTGTCAAGTAAATTTTATGTCAAATGAGAATCATGATAAATGACTTATCCGTCAAACGATATTGATGTCAAATGGATTTTTTGTCAAATGAGAATTATGTTAAATGACTTTTATACCAAGAGAAATTGATGTCGAATAAATTTATGACAAATGAATTTTATATCAAATAAAATTTACGTTAAATGAATTTTAAGTCAAAAGAAATTTATGTTAAATGATTGTTATGTCAAATGGGAATTATGTTATATGAGTTTTATGTAACATAAAATTGTGTAAAATGAATTTGATGACAAATGACATTTTAGTCAAATGGTTTTTTGTGTGCAATGAAATTTATGACAAATAATGTCCACATTATGTGAAATTTAAGTTAAGTGTTTTTATATCAAATAACTATTTTGTCAAAAAAGTTTTCGGGAATAAGCATACGCCTTAAATTTTATTTGACATAAAATTCAATTAGCATTATTCTCATTTAATATAAAAATTACTTGAAATAAATTTTTATCATTATAAATATCATTTGACGTAACATTTGTTTAATATAGATGGCATTTGAGATAAAATTCTTTAAAAACAACATATATTTGACATAAAGCTCAGTTGACAAAAAAGTCGTTTAACAAAATTTCTTTTTTGATAAAAAATTACATTAACGTAAATTTTACCTGACGTAAAAATCACTTGACATAAATTTCATTTAAATATAAAAATCACTTGAAATGAATTTCAATCGTCATTTCATTTGACGTAAAATTTGTTTAACATAAATGGCATTTGACATAAAATTCTTTTAAAAAAATATTTATTTGACACAAAAACATATATTTGACATAAGCTCATTTGACAAAACAGTCATTTTAGCAAAATTCTCTTTGCGCATAAAATTACATTAACGTAAATATTTTCAAAGATTTTAATTTGAACCTTTTTCAAAATTCAATTATTTCTAAAAATTCACGCTACAATGCTTTTAATATTCATTTATAAATTAAAATTTTAAAGTCAAAAGGTCCAAAAATCTCAAAATACTTTTATGAATTAAAAGCAAAAAACGAGGTAAATAATTCTGTAACTCATTCTTTATCAGTTTTTAGGGTTCCCGAATATAAATCTAAAGTTTTTTTTTTTAAATCCAAAATGTCGAATTCAATATGGCGGACAAAATTCAAATTTGATCAGATTCGATTAAAACTTGTTACTCGGGGGTTTTTAGGGTCGCTGATTACGAATCTGAAGTCACTTTAAAAAAATTCAAAATGGCGGATTCAATATGGCGGAAAAAATTTTCAAATTTGATCCGATTCCCTTAAAACGTGTTACTCAGGGGCTTTTGGGGTCGCAGATTATGAATATGAAGTTACTTTGTGTTTGAGACTTCAAATTCATAATCAGATACGCTAAAAACCACCAAGTAACACTTTTTAATTAAATCTGCGATCAAATTAAAAAATTTGATCCGACATTTTGAATTTCTACAAAGTAACTTCATATTCATAATCTGCGACCCCAAAAGCCCCCGAGTAACACGTTTTAAGGGAATCGGATCAAATTTGAAAATTTTTTCCGCCATATTGAATCCGCCATTTTGAATTTTTTTAAACTGACTTCAGATTCGTAATCAGCGACCCTAAAAACCCCCGAGTAACAAGTTTTAATCGAATCTGATCAAATTTGAATTTTGTCCGCCATATTGAATTCGACATTTTGGATTTTAAAAAAAAAACTTTAGATTTATATTCGGGAACCCTAAAAACTGATAAAGAATGAGTTACAGAATAATTTACCTCGTTTTTTGCTTTTAATTCATAAAAGTATTTTGAGATTTTTGGACCTTTTGACTTTTGACAGTTCTATTGGCATCGGAAATGGAATTTTGCAAAAAACGCCCATCGGCATCTTAAAGTACATGAACGTAGAAATCTTTTAAGCCCTAGAACGTTTAAATCCATCAAAGCAATTTTTGTTTAGAGCTCTGTCCGTGTTGACGTGGAATGTCCCATTTATTTGTGAAAATAATTGAATTCTTAAGAAGAATTGTATTGTAAATAATTGAATTGTGTATAGAAAATTTTATTAAAATTGCAATTATATTAACTACATCTTGTAAAGAATTTTGTCAACATTTTTTCAAATAATAGAATTTTTAAAAGAATTTTATTTTTATTTTTCGAAATTACTGAATTTCTCAGAACTATTTTTTTTTAGTTTTCTGAATATATTTGAATTCCTTCGAAAAACATCATTAAAAAATTAAAAATAATTGAATTCGTGAGAAGAAATTTATAAAAAAATTGATAAATAATTGAATTCCTGTGAAAATTTTTAAAAATAATTTATTGAATTTCGGAGAAGAATTTTAATATTTATAAAGATAATTGAAATTTTAATGAGAATATTTTTTAATTTTTCAACATAATTGAATTTATGCAAAGAAGTTTATCACTTTTGAAAATAATTGAATTTCTGAAATCAGTTGTTCTTAAAATTTTAATTTAAATCCATTAAAAATTGATATTTTCTAAAATTTCAAATTGAAACATTTAAAGTTCATCTATTTATGAAGATTGTAAACGCAACTCTTTTGAAATCCAATTAATAATTTTGAAATATTTAAGTAAAATTATTCATTAAATAATTTATTTATTTTATGATAGTTGTTCAAGAATTAAGTTATTTAAAAAGAAATTATTATCAGAAATAGAAAAAATGGAAGGATTTGTATTTAAATTCTTTGCAATTTCATATAGTTTATGAGGAAAACAAAAAAGACCAAAATTCAGAATTTTCTTATAAATTCAAAAAATTAAATTTTTTCCAGTACTTTTAATAAAAATCCCTGACTTTACCCTAAATTCCCTGACCTGGGGCAACTCTGTCTAATCTCAGCGTCTAAACTGGAAATGCTTTGTTGTTGAATTGAAAACTAATTTCATAGAGTAATGATTGCGCTTTGGATCAAGTTCTCATGTACATGAGTCCAGGACAGGGTCCATTACGATTATGTGGTGAAGGACGATTCAGTCGAGATACACAAGGTCCAGAGATGGTGGTCACTTTTCAAAGTGCCAGGAATACGCCAGGAGGTAGATTTGCATGTTACATACAAGCAATTTCACCACAGCAAAATTGTAGATGCGGATGGAAAAAGCCGGTTCGTATAAAAAAACTTGATTCCCTTTTGTGAAAACAAAACTTTTTCTTCTTTACAGTCAACAATAATCTTCAAGTTTTTAGCAAGTCTTTGCCAAGTTTACAAAACTTGTACTACTCCAAACTCCTAGGTTAATTGGGTACTAATTCTTAACGATGATTAAACGAAAGTTTAATTAAAATTTAACGAATCTTTAGACTTAAAAAAATTGAAAATATTATTGATATTCCTGAATAATTGGCAAAAAAACAATTCTTTTTAGATGAGAATAGTTGGTGGTGAAAATGCTGGATTGAATGAATTTCCAATGATGGCAGGAATTGTTGACGGAAGACTATCACAAGTTTATTGCGGTGGAACAATAATTTCCGTTAGACATGTTTTATCAGCTGCTCACTGTGTCATGAACAGAGACCCTTCAAATATGGGAGTGCTTATTGGTGATCATGATATTTCAACTGGTAAGTTTTTTTATTAATGTATAAATTAATGTAAAAATCAGTAAGAGAAGTAGGTACAAAGCGCCTACGAATTATTAAGTTATAATAATTTATGGTTACTATATATTTTAACAACCGTTGGAAAGTTTAATTAAAACACCTATTCTAATTTTAGGTCGTGATACAAACTCAACGCTTTTCAAAGTCTTGCAATATGCTATGCATCCCTCATTTGTATCAACTGTACGAAACAGTCCATATGATATTAGCGTTATAACAATCATAGGCTTGATGAGATTCACCAATGAAATTGGACCAGCATGTCTTCCATTTCAACATAGTCGAGATAGTTTTAGTGGAGCTGTTGTTCATATTTTAGGTAATAATTCTTTTCTTTGTGTGAATGTAGATTTGCAATAGTTTCCTTGTCATTCAACAAAATATTATTTACAAATAATATTTATTATAATATTAATAATTTTTTCGAAAAACAATATTTCTCTGGAACAGGTTGGGGTACTGTTGAATTCGGTGGAGGTACTTCAAACATTTTACAAAAAGCAAGAGTGAGTGTTATCAATCTTTCGCAATGCAGAAACACATTCCCTAATGTACTGGATAATCAAATGTGCACATTTGCATCTGGCAGAGATGCATGCCAGGTAAAATTATTGTTGAATTATTCTTCTAAGCCTTAATTTCGAATAAATGAACCTTATTGTTTTTGGGTACCATCAAACAAATTCACTAATTATTTTTATATACAAAACAGCCTCATAAGTATAAATTCTATTGTATGACATTATGACAGTATTGTCTTAATTTTCAATTCTGTCATATGCTTTTCTGTTAAATAACAGTTCGGTTGTTTGTCAGTTGGGGAATATTAATGCAACCCCCTTTAAATTTGTATGTTGAAAGAAAAGTTAACGGCGGAATGATTTTTTATATCAAAAATTGAAAGAATTTGAGATATGATCCAAAATATCATCTTATTGGTTTTTGATTTTGTTTCTCTTAAATATTACAGTTTGACAGTGGTGGTCCAGCTTTATGGCAAAATCCATCAACCGGTAGACTCGTGACTGTTGGAATTATTAGTTATGGAATTGCATGCGGTACAGCAAATCCTTCAGTAAATACTCGTGTGGGTGCTTTTGTAGACTGGATTCTGTCCGTGACGCCAGGTAAAATACAAAATCAAAATACTTTTCTAAATTCTGATTAAAAATAACTTATATTTGTAGCGAAATAATTCTTATTTCAAAATTCAGATGCTGATTATTGCAGAGCTGAATAATATTCAACAAAGGCTGTTCTTAAGTACCTGATTTTATTTACATTCTATACAAATAAAGAATTTCTAAACTATAATTGATGTTTGTTATTTGTTATTTATTATTTCGTATTTTAGTATTTGTTTTGAATATTATTTTATAATAGAATATTTAAAAATTGTTAATCATTAAATGAATTTCAAGTAGTAATAATAGTCACCGAGTTTACTAAAAAGATTTATAATCAGAATCCGAAAAGGATGCACGGGGTTTGGCGTTTAAGATTGTAAAACTAGATGTTAAGACAAAATAGAATAGAAAATTGTTCTGCAGAGATATTCTTTAAATACACAATTAATTCAAAAGTATTAAATTAATACCGAAAGTGTTAAAATGATACACAAAATTTGGATCAAAACTTTATATTTTTAATATCAATTTGACAAATTTAAATTAACAAATAAACAATTTCTACAAGGTAAGGCAAATTGAAAGCATTAGGTAATAACTTAAATTTCTCATCTGTAATACGAATTGTTGTTAGATAAATATATTCTCAGAATTAATGGAAATTCCATCATATAATCGGTCCCATATTGTTGAAAAGATGTTTCAGAAATTTATCAGAAAGTTCCATTTCATTATTTTCCATTGGCATTGAATTTACGACCTTGTCAATAAACTGGGACGAAACGCCGCAACTTTTATCAAAAAGCACATATGTATTGTATACGAGTGTATAAACTCAAACACAGATTGTTAATAGGAGGATAAAATAATCCATATTTTTAAAATTGTCCACTTTTTAAAGTTTTTATTTCAATATTCATTTTTCCATTCTAATATTTTCTGTTCCTTAAAAACAAGTCAATTTTCCAACAGTTAAGGAATAGGAAAAGTATCGTGGAATTTTATACTAAAAATATAAGTATCAGATATTGAAAATCAACTCCGTTTTTTTACTCGAATTAACATTTTTATTTCTATTATACTTTTTCTTCTTTAAAATACATTTGTTAAATATTCTTTTCCTTGCTCACGGATAAAAATGTTTTTCTGCTTGCAAACTGTTTGTTAAAATCACTCAGCCCTGCAGTAATTTACACCTATAAGGTATCAATAAATAGCATTCAATTAAAAAGGAGCGCAATTATTTAGTAATCTAATGTTTGTACAATTTTTGTAATATATTTGTTTAATCACTGTGAAAAAATTCAATTAAATGATTAACCAAATTTATTTTTTCAATACCTTCAGTAACGGATTGAATCCAATCTAAAAAGGCGCCTACTCGAGTATTAACTGAAGGAATTTTTGTCCCACAAGCAACACCATAACTTACTATTCCAACAATCACTAGTCTTTTTGTCGTTGGATTTTGCCATAAAACTGGACCACCACTGTCAAACTAAAACAACTCTCTATTAGTTGAAAAAAAGTTATTAGATAAAAATAATGATTTTCTATATTTATATTTTTAAAAAAATATTTTTAAATTCGGTACATTGTCAGTATTTTTTAATACCAATTTTGAACTTCAAGTAATACTGAAATTTTACTCAGTATGGAAAAAATTTCGGTGCATCTACTTGTGGTGCAAATCTTAAACAATTGAGTAGATAAAAAAATCCACTTCTTTCCCTAAGACATCAAATAATTACCTGACACGCATCCTTGCCAGGAGTAAGTGTACACAACTGATGCTCATTAATTTTAGGATACGATTTCTTACATTTCGAAAGATTAATCACACTGACTTCAACTTTTTGTAAAACATTTGGTGTTGCTCCTGATAATTCAGTCGTTCCCCATCCTTTAAAATAATAAACAAGAAGGTGTAGCAGAATGAGAATTTTTTCTGATAAGAGCTAGAGTTAAAATTGTTCGCTCTTGAAATTCAAGCATCGATTGCGTAAAGAATAATAATTTACCCAGGAATTCAACAAAAGATCCACCAAAACCATCACAACTGTGCTGAAATGGAAGGCACGCAGGACCAACAATATTTGTAAATGGAATACTTCCGTAAACTGTCATTACAGATACATCGTAGTCACTATTCCGTTGAGTTGCTATATAAGAAGGGTGATTAACATATTTCTGTACTGGCAAAGTTATCGAATTTGCATCAGATCCTAAAAACGATTATTAATTAATTTCATTTTCGTTTTACAATTTTTAACCAGCAGTTTTATAGTTTCTGTTTAATTAAAGAAAAAAAAGAAGTCTCTCTTAAGAAATGTTTTATAACGCACCAGTGGAAAGATCATGATCACCAATAAGAACACCCAAATCATTAGCGTTTTTTTGTTTTAAACAATGAGCTGCTGTTAGAACATGTTTAGTACTTATAATTGCACCACCACAAAATACCTGTTGATTAATTTCATCGACAATTCCCACCATCATTGGATATTCATTTAATGCAGCATCTGTACCACCGACTATTCTACTCTAAAAACAAAATTTCAATTCTCTAAATGTAAAATTTATATTTGTAAAATCTTTTTAAATCTATTATTACAATTTTTCTATAGAAAATGTTTGACTAAATAATCAGCAACCTGGAAACCTGGAAATGTCAGGGAATTTTATAAACCTTGAAAAAACCTGAAAAGTCAGGGAATGTTTATCGGAATCCTGAGAAATTTTTGTTTTCTACAGTTATTGTACTTATTCTTGAAATCTAATTTTTCTTAAATCTTTTAAAATTAATTCAATTTTAAAAGAGTTGCATTTATAATATTTACGTAAATAGATAAACTTCAAAAGGTTTTAATTCGAAATTTTGTAAAATTTCAATTTTTAATGAATGAATTAAATAATAAAAATTTCACAAGAATTCTATTATTTACAAATTCTTTATAAATTTCTTCGCAATAATTCAATTATTTTCATAAATAATCAAATTTTTTACAGAGATTCAATTATTTTCACAAATAATAAAACTCATCGCAGAATTTCAATTATTTATTTTTAATACAATTTTAATGAAGTTTCTCGAAAAATGGAATTATTCTTAAAAATTTTATTAAAATTCATCATCAAAGAAATTTAATTATTTTAAAAACCTTTGCTACAATTTATTTATTAGAATTTAAGTATTATTTTCAATACAGTTTTAATTAAATTTCTTCAAAAAATTAAATTATTTTCAAAAATTTTAATGAAATTCTTTGTAACAATTTAACTTTTTTCAAAATAATTTTAATAAAATTCTACATAGAAATTTAATTAATTTCAAAAATTGGTCAAAATTCAATTATTTTCAATGTCTACTATTTCAATAAAATTTCACAAAAGAATTCAATTTATTATTTAAAAAGTTTTAATGAAATTCGTCTCAAGAATTCAATTATTTTCAAATGTAATGAAATTCTTCGAAAAAAATTCATTTATGTTCAAAAATTTACAAAAATTCTCGTCAAAATTTCAATTATATTTATAAATAATACAATTTTTCTCAGAAATTCAATTATTTAAAAAAATTTTAATAAAATTCTTGGCAGAATTTCAATTATTTTTAATACAATTTTCATTAAATTTCTCGAAAAATGAAATTGTTCTTAAAAATTTTATTAAAATTTGTCAAGAGAATTCAATTATTTAAAAATTTGTTAATAAAAATCAATTTTAAGAAACATTTAATATAATAAAATATTCATTTTTGTATTTAAATAATTGAATTCTCGTAGATTTTCCTTATTTTTATCAAAAATGTTTACTTTTTTCTTATCCTCCTAATATCTACTATTTCAATAAAATGTCACAAAAGAATTCAAAATTAGGTATTTAATAATTCGCCTCAAGAATTCAATTATTCTCAAAAGTAATAAAATTCTTCGCAGAAATTCAATTATGGGTCAAAAGATTAAAAAAAATTCTCTTCAAAATTTCCATTATCTTTATATATATACTATGTATAATTAAATTTTTCCCCAAAATACAATTGTTTTCAAAACTTTAAATAAAATTCTTGGCAAAATTCCAATTATTTTCAAAAACTTTTCTCAATAATTACATACAATTTTTTACAGAGATTCAATTATTTTTAATATAATTTTATTCTAATTTCTCGAAAAATGAAATTATTTAAAAAAATTTTATTGAAATTCATTAAAAGAATTTTAATTACCTATTTAAAAATTTGTTGATAAAATTCTTTAAATGAGAGTTCAATTTTAAAAAACATTCAATTCTTCAATAAATTATTTATTTTTCTATTTAAATAATTGAATTCTAGTAGAATTTTCTAATAAAAATTGATTTAAATAGAAATTGCAGTTAAAATTTTAGATAATAATTGAATATTAAACTCTCTAAATTTGAATTACCTAGTATAAAAATGTTTTCTAATTTGAATTAGCAGATTTTACTAATAAATAGTCGTTTCTACTTATGTAATAGTAAAATTTACTACTTCAAAAGCAAAAAGTCAGTCACTAATTCCAATTAGTAAACATTAGTAAACATTTTTACTGATTCAAATTTAGAGAGAAAGTATTATAGTATTACAGATAGAATTTCGTAAAATTGAATTGTAAACAAAAGGATTTGAAAATTTCCAAAGAAATTTTTCAAAAATTATTAAAAATAATTAATTTAATGAAGAATTTTAGTTGAAAATTCTGGAAAACAATAATTGAATTGAAGTGATGAAACTAATTTTGAATAAGTTACAGTAACAATAATCTTATAATATAAAATAATGATTTAATCAGTCGGTCATTTTTAATTATTATCAAACATGAAGACATTGATTGCTCCGAGTCGAAGACTCGGAGTGATCGATTTCTTCATGTTTTATAACAATTTTTTATAAGTTGTTAAATTTCAAAAAGGTTTGAATTTAAAATTTTTGAAAATCTTAATTCTTATGGAATAATTATAATGACTAATTATTTAATTTTGTAAAATATAAATGTAGTTTCAAAAACCTGAAAAAATTCCGTTTTTTACCTTGAAAACCTGGAAAAGTCAGGGAATTTGAAATGAGCAAAAGCGTGGCAACACTGATCAGTTAATTATTTAAGATTGTAAAACGGTTCTGTTTCGAATTCTCAAATGAAATAATTTATCTTAAACAAAACCTACCGGATTTTTCCAACCACATCGACAATTTTCATCGTCCTGGTCAGTGTTTAATGGTTCAACAATACAGGAAAATATTCCTCCTGGTGTTGAGTAATAACTCCGAAAAGTAATTACCATTTCACGACCCTCTGAATTTCTCGAAACTGTTCCATTACCACACAAACGTAATGGAACTTTATTTGAATCACTCGGATTCTCATAAACAAGCATGTGATCATATTGACAAGTATTGTAAACCTATTTCATGAAGTGAAAAACGTAAAAGTGTTTTACAAAAATTATTCTATGATCAACTAAAAACTATGATGATTTAGCAAAATTAATTATGATGATATAGCAAAAAAACGATTTATGAATGAATTCTCACCGGTGGAATATTAAATAAATCACATCTAAAATTTATTCTGTATTCACTTTTGATATTCCATTTGCAATAATTTTCTCCATAATAATTTTGCGCATAATTAGGACTTCTGATATAGTATGTTCTTCCCGGTTGTACGTCAAGTAAAAAATTACAATTCGGATCTTGAGCGTTAATTTGTTTTAAAAAAATTACTAGAAAGTAGAGAATTGATAAAAATTCTGAAAGAAAATTCAAAACGTAAATTTTCTAGCTAATATTTTAGATGCATGTTTAAATCTGAATTAGTTAATGATAATTTTTTTCAAATGAGAAAAAAGTGTAAAGTTTGCTTCAAAAATAGTAAAAAATCAATGGCACTAATATAATAATTTTTTATACTTTAAATAATTTGTAGGAATAATTTATTATTAAATTTTAATAATCACCATTTTTCAAAACAATGTTTGCCTTTTTTAAATTATATGTTTATAGACAAATTACGTTAACTTGTAAATTATTAACAAGGAAGATAATGAAAATAATTAGTGAACTTATTTGTCAATAAAGCATAAAAAATAAAAAGGAAAGATGTTTACTATATGTTACGCAAAAAAAAAATAATAAACAAGTTTTTATCAGTTTCTTCCATTGTGTTTAGGAACCAATGAAAAATAATATTTTATTTACAAAGCAAATTATAAAAATTTTAAAAAAAAGTAAATAACCGGCAAAGGTTAAGTAAATTTTTGTTTATAAAAAAACTTTGAAATATTAATTCATTAAAAAATTATATACGTATTTTAAATCCTAAATTTTGAAATATGTATATTCTATTATTTTTGAAAAATTTTTTTTTAATCTAATCGAAAATTGGGTAGCAGTACAAAAGGTCCAAAATAAAAGGTCCAGGACAGATTATCCAAACCGAAAGGTCCAAAGGTTGAAAAATCTAAAATCTGAAAAGTCCAACATCTAAAAAGTCCAAAAGATCTAAAAGTCCAAAACTAAAAATTTAATTTAAAATTAATCAACAAAGTTGTTGTTGATTGAGATTTAGCCAATGTTATTGAAATATACATTATTTTCAAATATTTCAAATATTTCAAATATTCCTTTTTTTAATACTTTTTTTTACTTTTTTTTAATTATTTTCAAATATTTCAAATATTCCTTTTTTTAATACAAATTAAATTATTTTTATGATCCAAAGACTTTTTTTTAGATCTAAGAAAGATTAACTACTCAGTAAAAAAAAATTTAGAAAAAAAATTAAGATTAAAAGCTTCAAATGATTTTTTAAACGTGTCTGATTTTGAAACACGTAGTAATATGCACAATCTCCCTATATTTTTTGGACTTTTCAATATTGGACAATTTTTATTTTGGACTTTTTGAACCTTCTAATTATTGGACTTTTTGTATTTTGGACTTTCTAATTATTGGACCTTTTGTCCGTTGGACCTTCTAATTATTGGACCATTTGGAATTGGACCTTTCATTTTAGACATTCTGTACTGTAATCGAAAATTGTAATGCAATTACCAAAATTTTATACAATTTTAATAATTTTATCAATTGTAAGCATTATACTGAATGCACAAATAAATATATAAATAAATAAACAAATAAATGAATAAAATACATATATTTACTTCAATTAATTAAAATAAATTTAAATAATTTAAATAAATAAATATAAATTTAATTAATTAATTATATTTCAATTAATTTTTTTTAAACATATTTAATTCAATTTATTTAAATAGTTAATTGTTATTAAAATGAATACTGTTAATTGTTATTACATTGCAATGTATGATATTTAATTGAATTCTATATTAATGAAAGTGACTAAATTTAGAATCAAATTAATTAATTATTATAAGAAAAATTATAAATGAATTAAATTATAAAATATAATTATACTTTCTCTATAATAAAACAATTCTAAATTAATTAATTACTTGATGAAAATGTTAAATTAAATTAATTAAATCATTTACACAGTAAATTTTTTTCATTATTATTAATTTAAAATAATAATAATAATTTTTGAAATGAAACTGAAACAATTTAAACATATGAAAGTAAACTATTAGAAAATTAATTCAATTTTAAGTAATAAATAAACAATTAATTAACTAAATTTAATTAATTAACTAATTAATAAATTACTTAATTAACAATAACTAATCAATTAATTACTTAATTAACAACAACTAATCAATTAATTACTTAATTGAAAATAACTAATTAATTAATTACTTACATAACAATAACTTATTAATTAATTACTTAATTAACAATAACTAATTAATTAATTAATTGATAAATAACAAATTTCTTCTGAATAAATATTTAAAAATACGTATTTTTTTATAAGAAATTAATAATTTTTAAATCAACAGGAAATAATAAAATTGTCATTACCAGGAAATGGGGAAATTCTTGTCCAACGATTTATAAACATTTTTTTTAATTCAATTCTGTTTAAGGAATTAAATAATTCTAGATATATGTAAGGAAACAATGAAGCGTTGCGATTATTGTAAAATTTTTCGAAATTTCCTATTGTTGACTCCTATGTAACTTTTTAAAATTTTTAATGCTTCTTAATTATTTACTTTAATAACTTATGATCGACTGTCAATGCCATCTTGCGCTCGTTTACATTCAAAACAGTTTATTTTTTTTCAAATAAAAACGTTTACTTTAATTATGCTTATAAAACCTATCACTAAATAGATAAACTGTAAACAATATATTAGTTATAGAAACAATATCGAAAATTTATACCATTTCTTGAAAAAAAAACTGGGTTATCTGACAAGGAAAAAAAATTACATTTTTTACTTCTTTGAAAATTTAAAAACTGGTTATTAAATTTGTTTGTGAAAAAAATATTTTAATCTTTTTCTTATATTGTTATTTTGTATTATAGTAAACATTTTTGTATATCAACAAATTCTTAAAATTGTGGAATTTATTTTTGTTATTCTATTATTTTTATTTTTTACTTTCTAAAATATTTCATCGTTTTTATATATTTTGTACAATATTATTACTTTTTATTATTTATAAAATATTTTTTGTACTAGGTAAATAAATTAATATCATTATAGTAAAACAATGCAAAAATTATTTTAAAAAATAATTGTATTTAGAATTATATTTAATATTACTTTTTTAAAATAATTTTTAAAATAATTATATAATCTACAATAATTTTGTTCATATAATATGTAATTGCTATATATTTTAATACTTATTAATTGTTGTTAATTAATTAATTAATTATACTTTTTATTTTCATATTGTAAGTTTTAATTAGTTACTATAATTGTCATTGATGATAAAATACAATTAGTAATTAACTATGATTATTAATTACTAATATAGAATTAATTAATTAATAACTACAAAATTTTAATTAATTATTTAGTAATTTTCATAATTATTTCATATGTTTAATATTTACCTATATATTATTTATAGTAACTTGTAAATAATTATTGTTTTTACAAAAAAAAATTGTTTTTTACAAAACGTCGTTTTTCCTAATAAAAGAAATAAAAGGGCGCGATAATGAATTTTTGAAATTTGAAATAACTCGCGGCATCGTGTTTGGCGCCATCGCAGTGAGTGTTGCCATGGTTACCGATAAATGTCAACACCGTCAACAATTGCATCTAGCTTAATTCTAACCTACGCTTATAATGTAGTTTGTTATTTATTTATTGTTTTAAAACAATTAGAAATTAATAAAATAAAGATGTACCCGATTTACTGTTTAAGCTGACGTTAAAGTAAATGTTTCCTTTACTTTTAACATGTCATACTTTCATGGAATTCCGATTCCAAACTTTAATTCGGAAAAGCGTTCCAGACGAAAGGTAAACATGTCAAACTTAATTATTTCGATAACGTAATGAAAGCATTTTTCTTTTTCAATAATCTGTAATAATTTAATATGGTAATAATAGTACAATATCAAAATTAAGTAAACCTAACCTCAAAAAATAATCTGTAAACAAATGAAACAAATTAACAATAATATAATTTTTAATTAAATTTTTATTTTATTTAAGAGAATAAATAGACTCTAATGATTAAATATTATTTTAATATTTTGTTGATATATTTGTGTAATATGTAATGATTATTATATAAGAATGCAAAATTCTATTGTAGATAGTAAATGAATTATTTTTTTTAACGCAGCACAGTAAAACAAAAGTAGAAAATGAAGATGAACTTGAACCAGCTCATGGAATTCGGCATCGTCGGATGCATAATACAAGTAAATCACTCAAAAAATTAAAATCAGGATTAAAAAAGGAAGTAGATAATACATGTGAAGATGATGGGACAACTATTGGGACGAAAAATAAAGAGAAACGACATTTTCACAAAGAAATCGAACGATTAAAGGAGGAAAATCGATTAATTACAGCTAAATTAGAAGAAACTGGCGAATCTGGTAATATTAATTGCCTAAGAATAATTAATTCAGGGTTGCCACAAAAATTTAATTTTCTTTTTCCCTGATTTCCAGGCAAAATTTTGACTTTTTCCATGACCCTAAAGAATATTCTGATTCACTCTAAAAATTATTAGAAACTCAAAAAAAATGTTCTATTACATTTATTTACAAATTTCATCAATTGTAAAATTATTCGAAAACATCAATAACTTCATATTCAAATAAACATTTAATAATTATTATTCTTTTATGGGAATTAAGATTTTGAAAATTTTAAATTCAAACCTTTTTGAAATTCGGAAATTCTTCAATTAAATATACATTAGAAAATAAAAACCTGCAATTCTTTTAAAAAATTCCGATTCAGCTTCATGAAAAAAACTAGTTCTATAGGATTTTAAATAAAAAGTATTAAAAATTCAGATTTTCAAAGATTTTAATTGAAATGTTTACAAAATTCAATATAATTTTAACTAAAATGAATTTTTAAATGAATTTTTATTAGAAAATTATACTAGAATTCAATTATTTAAATGCAAAAATAAATAATATATTGAATAATTGAATGTTCCATAAAATTGAATTCTCATAAAGAATGTTGTCAACAAATTTTTTAATAATTGAAATCTTTTGACGAATGTTAATCAAATTTTTAAGAATAATTACATTTTTACAGAAATTCAGTTAAAATTTTATAGAAAGTAATTAAAATTCTATGATGAGTTTTATGTATAAATAATTGGATTGCTGTGAAATTTTTATTATTTATGAAAATAATTAAATGTTTGCGTAGAATTTCATTGAAAATTTCTTGTAAATAATTGAATTCTTTTGGAAAAATATATTAAAAAATAGTAGATATTAAAAATGATTGAATTGAGGAAAATTGTTTAAAATAATTGAATTTCGGAAAAGAATTTTATTTTTTATAAAGATAATTGAAATTTTTACGAAAATTTAAAAAAATTTTTGAACTTAGGAATTGAATTTCTGCGAAGAAAAACATTGAATTCTTGCAAAGAATTTTATCAAAAAATTTGAGAATAATTGAATTTCTTTGAAGAATTTTATTATTAATGAAAATAGTTCTTTTCTCGACAAGAATTTTATTAAAATTTTTAAAAAACCTTATTAAATTCTTTTGGAGAATTTCTTTGATTTTTTTTTTAAATAATGGAAAACTAATTGAGTTTTATGAATAATTTCTTTCAACTTTTTAAAATAATCGTGTTTCTTAATAATTGAAATTAAAGAATTAAATTATTCAATTTTAGAAAATAATTGGATTCTTTTGAAAAATTTTATAACGAATTAAGAAAACATTTCAATTCTTTCGTTACATTTTATTGAAAATAAGTAAATTTTTGCAAAGGTTTTACTATATTTGAAAAAATAATTGAATTGTTTCGAAGGATTTATTAAAATTTTTTAAAATGGATGAATTTTTGCAAAAATTTTGCTATTTATAAAAGTAATTGAATTGTTTTGAAGGATTTATTAAAATAAATTAAAGAAAATAATTGGATTCTTTTGAAAAATTATATAACGAATTAAGAAAAAAATTGAATTTCTTTGTGAAATTTGTTTGAAAATAATTGAATTTTTGCAAAGATTTTATCTACTATTTAAAAAATAATGAAATTGTTGTGAAAGATTTATTAGAATTTTAAAAAATAATTAAATTCGTTCGTGAAATTTTATTGAAAGTAATTGAATTTTCGCAAAGATTTTACAATTAAAAAAATAATTAAATTGTTTCGAAGGATTTATTAAAATTTTTAAAATAATTGAAATCTTTCGTGAAATTTTATTAAAAAATTTTAAAAATTGATTTTTGTAAAAAATTAGAAAAGTGAATTTGTTTTCATTTTAAAAATTAAATTATTTAAAAATTTATATTTAAAAATAAAAAATTTTATAATTTGCAATATAATAATAAATTGAATCTCTCGTCTGCGCGCGTAATTTTTAATAATTAATTAAATATAAATTAAAAAATTTCACTATAATTTCAGAAGAATTTTAATTATTATAATTTATTAAAAATCTAAGTTTTTTTAAAATTTCTAATTAAATTCATTGAAAATTGAAATTTTATAAAATTTCAAATTATAACATTTGAAGTTTATCTATTTATGAGAATTGTAAACCCAATTCTTTTAAAATTGAATTAATTTTAAAATATTTAAGTAAAATTATTCATTAAATAATTTCTAAATAATAAAATTTTATGATGATTCTTCAAGAATTAAGTTATTTAAAATAAATTGTTGTCCGAAATGGAAAAAATTGAAGGTTTTGTATTAGAATTTTCATAGTTTATGAGACAAACAAAAAAGACACCAAAATTCAAAATTTTCTTATAAATTCTAAAAATATATGTAATTTTTTCCCTAACTCTTCCCTGATCTGTGGCAACCCTCTAATTTAATTTTATACTACCGAATTATTCAAAATTTGATTTTTTAAAGCATAAGTTCGATAAAATAATACATTGTTTAGAATAAAAATCCTATTTATTAAACATTTTGTTAAACCGAAAATTTTTAATTAATTAAAGAAACAGAATTTCTGTTAATAAAAATTCAAATTGATTTATTATCAATATAATTAATTAATTATAAAAAATTTACAAAATTATAAACATAATAAAATTTTAATTTTATACAATTTAATATTTTTCTCTCCTAGAGGCAAATGATACAAAAGAAAAACATCAATTATTGGGAAAAATTCGCATAAAATATCATAAATTAGAGGAGAAATATGAAGAATTATGTGAGGAAAATAAAAAATTATCAATTCTTTTACAAGAAAAAGATCAAGAATATCGAGAATTACATGCACATCATGAAAAATTAACGCAATCCCTTGAAATTAATGAACAAGATCAATCAAATTTAGTTATAATATCGGAGAAAATAAAATCAGACAATACACAATTAAAAAATGATATTTCATTACTTAAAAATCTAGTCTATAGACTTAATGTTGAATTAGAAAGATATCAGGATAAATTACGAAGCTCTAGTCAAAGTATTGAATTTAAAAATTCTTCAACTTCAATACTCAATGCCGATTCAGAGGCTGAAATTAAAAAAGCAATTAATTCATGGGGTAAAGTTAATTCACACGCATTGGCTCCACTTTTGGATGCGTATCAGGAAAATCTCGAGGAAAAGGAACAACTTATTCAAAAATATGAAAAAGAAATTGACATATTTTCTGGTAAATGTAAAGAAGTTGTACGTGAAAATGAATCTCTCTTCAAAGAAGTTGAAGAATTAAAATCTAAGGTATATTCTTATTATCTCATTAAAATATTTCTATTTAAAACATTTAAAATTTTTGATAAATTCAATTCAGAAACGTAATAAAAATGTTGGTGGATAAATTTTTTGATAAATTAAAATTAAGATTTATTGAAAAGTATGTTAATGAACATTTTAAGAATCTAAAGTTTGGATTAAAAACATTTGAAAAATTTACAACAGATTGGATACTTAGGCGACAAAATTGAAAAAAAAACTTATAGTCCGTGGACTCTGTAATTTATATTAAAATTTCGTAAATTAATTTTTTGATTTCAGTGTGAGAGGTACGTTTTTGAGATGAAGACAATAGAAGAGGATGCTGGAGTCATCAAAGAGCAAAATGATCTTCTAACAAAACAAACAAATATGCAAAAGCAAAAATTGCAAGAAATTCATTCCGTTTATGAACATAAAGTGGAAACAATGTCTCAAGATAATAATAAACTTCATAAAGATTATTTGACCTGCAAAGCTGAATTAAGTAATCTTCAAGGAAAATACGAAATTCTAAATGAAGGTTATGAAAAATTGAAGAATAATTCGGAAAAAACAATGCCCGTTTCTGTTCACAATGCATCTGTCGAAGAATGTAAACGTTTATTTGAGGAATTAAAATTTCAATACGAAAACGATAAAAAGAAATTGACATCGAAAATTAAACTCTTAGAAGAATCACAGCCCGAGAATGAAAAGCAATTAATTTTGATAACTGCCGAACGTGATCAATTGAAAACACAACTAAAAAGTTTGGAGAAAACTTACAAGTATGAATTTAAAAAAGAATTTTTTAAATTAAAAAGAAATTTTTTCATTTTAAAATCTATAAATATTATTAAAAATAATATAATATTATTATCATAATCGTACTAAATTTATAAATAAGAATTCGTTTTTGAAAAATTTTATTTAATAAAAAATATTAAAAATGATTTTATATTTCTAAATTCTTCTCTTTTAAAAATGAATTTGTTAATCATTATTTTAATGCTCACATTTTACTTACTTTATTTTTCTTTAAATAATTAATTATTTTTTTAATTTTTAAGACGAACGCAACAAAAATTGGATCATCTTCAAAAATCAGTTTGTTCTATTCAAATTTCACGTGAATCGATGAAAAGACAATTGAACAAAACAACTGAATTTTGTAAGGAACTTGTTGCAGAGCAAGAAAAAATTATAATCGAAAAGGATAAATTAGTTGCATCATTAAAAGAACGAGAGAAAGAAAATGAAAATATTCAATATTTACGAAATAATATAACACACAGAATGGGGAATTTACGTAGTCAATTAAAGGTATATACTTATCGTTTTTTATTTCAAAAATCATTATTCATTAGAAGTGAATCATAAAAATCATAAGAAATTAATTTAACGTAACTTTAATTTCAAATAATTGCTTTAATTGTTTATTTTAACAATTTACTTTGTAACTTTCTAAATTAATTGGATTTTCTTTTCACAGTTTAATTGTTTATTATTATTATTATTACTTAATTCAGGGTTGTCACGCAGCTTGGAAACCTGGAAATGTCAGGGAATTTTATAAACCTTGAAAAAACCTGGAAAAGTCAGAGAATTTTGATTGAAATCCTGGAAAATTGTTGTCTAAAGTTTAATCTTGAAATCTAATTTTATTTCAATATTTCAATTTTAAAAGAGTTGCGTTTACAATTTTCATAAATAGATGAACTTCAAAAGATTTTAATTTGAAATTTTGTAAAATTTCAATTTTAAATGAATTTAATTAGAAATTTTAAAAAACCTAGATTTTTAAAAAATTTTAATAACATAAATTCTTCTAAAATTATGTATAGTTAAGTTTTTTAAAATACCTATATTTAAATAATTATTAAAAATAATTGCAGAAATTAAATTATTTTCAAAAGTAGTAAAATTCTTCTTAGAAATTCAACTATTATCTAAAATTTTAATAAAATTTTTGGCAAAATTTTAATTATTTTCATAACTAATAAAACTTATCGCAGAATTTCAATTACATATTTTTAATACAAATTTTAATGGAATTTCTCGAAAAATGTAATTATTCTTAAAAATTCTATTAAAATTTATCAAAGAAATTCAATTATTTTAAAAACCTTTGCTACAATTCATTTATTAGAATTTAAGTATTATTTTCAATACAATTTTAATTAAATTTCTTCAAAAAATTAAATTATTTTCAAAAATTTTAATGAAATTCTTTTTAACAATTCAATTTTTTTTCAAAATAATTTTAATAAAATTCTTCGTAGAAATTTAATTAATTTCAATAATTTATCAAAATTAAATTATTTTCAGAATCTACTATTTCAATAAAATTTCACAAAAGAATTCAATTACATATTTAAAAAGAAATTTTAATAAAATTCGTCTCAAGAATTCAATTATTTTTAAAAATAATATAATTCTTCGCAGAAATTCAATTATGATAAAAAAAATTACAAAAATTCTCGTCAAAATTTCAATTATATAATTATAAATAATAAAATTTTTCTCAGAAATTTAATTATTTAAAAATTTGTTGATAAAAATCAATTTTAAGAAACATTCAATATGATAAAATATTTATTTTTGTATTTAAATAATTGAATTCTTGTAGAATTTTCATAATTATTAATAATAATAATAATAATAATAATAATAATAATAATAATAATAATAATAATAATAATAATAATAATTCATAATTAATTTTAAAAAAGTAGCTTTCGAAAAATTAAAATTGACGACCAAAAAAAAAATTCGTTTTAGAAACTTCAAAAAACTGACAAAAATTCCATTCCATATTTTTCAATTTCCTGACTTTTTTCTAATATTTTCATCAAAAATATTTACTTCTTTCTTATTCTCCTAATAAATTGAATTTCTGCAACGAATTTTATTATTCATTAAAAAATTTAAATATTTATAAAAATAATTTAATTCTTGCCAAGAATTTGATAAAATTTTTTCAAATAATTGATTTCTATCGACTAATTTTATGCAAATTCTAATTTAAATCATTGAATTCCAGAGAAATTTCTATTATTCATAAAAAGAATTAAATTCTTATGAAGATTTTTACAAAAAAATTTTAAATAATTGAATTCTGTTTGGAAATTTTATGAAAATAGTAGATATTAAAAATCATTGAATTGCGAAAAGTTTTTAAAAATAATTGAATTCCTAAAAAGCATTTTATTATTTATGAATATAATTGAATTCTTGCAAACGATTTTATTAGAATTTTTAAAAATAATTGAATTTACAAGAAGAAAATTATTTATGAAAATAATTGAATTTTGCAAAGATTTTTATTAAAATGCCTCAAAATAATTGAGTTTTCAGGAATAATTTTGTTATTTATCTTTAATAATTGAATTTTTTCGAAGAATTATTTATGTAAATAATTGAATTCTTGGGAAGAATTTTAATAAAATTTAAAAGAATAATTGAATTATTTAAAAAAAATTTAATTAAACTTGTATTTAAAATAATTGATTTTTTGAGGAATTGAAATTAAATTTGTAAGAGTAATTAAGGCTCCGGATCTTAAAAGGGCACTTGCAGCATTGATTTTAAATGGTGTAATTGCCCTTTTAATATCTGGAGCCTCAATTAAATTATTTGAGCAATTCCTGTAAAATTAATAAAAATAATTGAAATCCTGCGATGAATTATATTATTTATGAAAATAATTGAATAGTTGCAAAGAATTTTATTAGAATTTACGAAAATAATTGAATTTCTATGAAAAAGTTTATTACTTTTAAAAATAATTGAATTCTTGTGATGACTATTGTTATTTATGAAAATATTTGAATTCTGCAAAGAATTTCGTAAAATTAAATTGTAAACAAAAGGATTTGAAAATTCTCAAAAAAATTTTTCAAAAATTATTTAAAAAAATTTATTTAAAGAAGAATTTGAGTTGAAAATTCTAGTAATGAATAATCGAAGTGATGAAAATAATTTTTGAAGAAGTTACAGTAACAAATTAGCAAGTTTTAAATATTATATAAAACATGAACAAAGCGATTACTCCGAGTCGTAGACTCGGAGTGAACGGTATCTTCATGTTTTATAATAATATTCTTAAATTCAGTAGAATTTGAAATTTTTAAAAATCTTAATTTCTGTGTAAAATAATGATGAAATATTTATTGAAAAATGAAGTTATATATTGATGTTATCGAATAATTTTACTTTTGAAGAAATTTGTAAATAAATGTAATAGAACATTTTTTTGTGTATCTAAACATTTTGCGAGTGAATCAGAATAGGTATTCTTTAGAGTCAGGGAAAAAGTAAAAATTTTGTCTGAAAATCAGGGAGTTATTTAATTTCGTAAAATATAAAAATGTAGTTTTAAAAACCTTGAAAAATTCCGCAAAAGCGTGGCAATCCTGTTGATATTGTTTGTTCGAATTTTTAAAAATGTTTCAATTTTATTTTAGATTGTACAAAAAGGTGCAAAGGAGCAGTTGGAATCAGTTGAGAAGCATATAAAAAATAAAGAATTAGACGCTGATCAAATGAAAGCCGAGTATTCACGTGAATTGAATCGTTTGAAAAATTTAGTCAAGGACAAGGAGGAAATTATCGGCAAATTACAGAGAGAGAAAAATGCAATGCAAGATAATTTAGAATACGTTTTAAAAGCTGCATCGAGTGACGACAAAAAACTCAAAGAAGCTTTAAAGAATTCTAAAATTTACACCGTTTAAAGGTAATTTACAAGGGAAGGGAAAATAACTATGGTAAATAATTTAAAAGAAAAATTAAAAAGTTCAGTTTCAAAGTTTCTATAAGTTTAGTTTGTTTTAATACCAGAAATCTTGGATTTACCAGGTAAATTCTAGTTTTTCTGACAAACAAAACAAAAGTAAGAAAGCGATTAAAAAGCGAAAAAAGAAGAAAATAATCAAAATACAAAAAAATCGAGGAAATAAAAAAAAGTGAAAAATATATCCTAATTTGGAACTGTACTGTCTTTAAAGCGCCGTTATAATTAGTAGTAGTGAACAAATTTTTCTTTTTTTAACAAAATTTGGAAAAGTTTTTTTGTTTTTATATTATAAATTTAATATTTAATATTAATTTAATTAAATAACTCAATTAATTTAGCCATTTACTGAAGGTTATTAAATTGTTAATAAAGACAATAAATACAGAGATATTTTAGTTTTACAAATTGAAAAATTTTCTTTAGCCAAATTTTGTTCTAAATTTTTTTTTAAATATTTAAATAAATTATTATTTATTAATGTTATTATTAATTGTTATCTTAATTTCATCAAAACTAAAAAAATATTTGACGAAATCAAAATTCGGTGAACTAATAATTCTTTAATAAAAATTAACTTGCAAATAAATTTGGCTAAAAATATATTTCAAATTGTTCTTTCGCATTCGGAATTTTAAAAAAATCGAAAAGTATTTTAGTAATTTTATAGTCATTAATGTTAATAATATATTATTATTAATATTAATATTTTTAAGTCATTATTATCGATAATAATATTATCTCAGTGCCGTGATTTTGCGAATGGATATAATTTATCGAAAAGAAAATTATAAAACATAATTGTAATATGTAAAACATATTTTACGGTTTATGATTTTTATTAAATTTAGATCAACTGTGTGCATTAATTTTCTAGTCATGTATTATGTAAATATAGAACAATTTACATATTTTAATTACAATATATGTATGTACATGTAATAGAGGAATGAATATTAAAGTGAATGGTGGAAGGACGAGAATAATTTATCATCATTATTATTATTAAAAAAAAAATAGTTTCGTAAATTGGCGGAATTTCAAGTGCAAGAACTTTGATCTTAAAATGACTCTGATTTACAGATAAATCACCTGCTTTATTTAGTTTATGACATCAACCAAAGAATTATGTACAAACAATCGAGATCGTTAGCATCTTTTATATATCGATGATCTCACGACTAATTTACATTGTCGTTAATTTCAATCTATTACAATTATTTGGGATTGCATCTCTTTATTCCTACAGATGTAACTCTTTATTTGCAATTTTTTATTTCCTCTGCTTTTTTTTAACAACGAGAAATAAAACGTTATGTACAGACATTTTTTTTCAAACCTAATTCAGGGTTGCCACGCTTTTGCTCATTTCAAACACCCTGACTTTTCCAGGTTTTTAAAACTACATTTATATTTTACAAAATTAAATAATTCCAATAAATTTTTACAAATATATATGGAACTTTCATATAATACTGTATTCCGCATTGTTATATTTATCTTTTTTAAATAAATATTTAATTATTTTTCCATAGGAATTAAAATTCTTCAAAAGATTCAAATTGTAACCTCTTTGAAATTAAACAAATTTTATAAAAAATTGTTATAAAACATGAAGAAATCGATCACTCCGAGTCTTCGACTCGGAGCAATCGATATCTTCATGTTTTATATTAATTAAAAATTTCCGACTGATAAAATCATTATTTTAAATTATAAGAATATTGTTACTGCAACTTATTCAAAATTACCTTCATCACTTCCATTTAATTATTTTTTATTAGAAAGTTCTACGAGAATTCAATTATTTAAATAGAAAAATAAATCATTTATTGAAGAATTCAATGTTTTTTAAAATTGAACTCTTATTTAAAGAATTTTATCAACAAATTTTTAAATAAGTAATTAAAATTCTTTTAACGAATTTCAATAAAATTTTTAACAATAATTTCATGTTTCGAGAAATTAAATTAAAATTGTATTAAAAATAATTGAATCTCTGTAAAAAAAATTTGATTGAATTGAGAAAAGTTTTTGAAAATAATTGAAATTTTGTCAAGAATTTTATTAAAATTTTTGAAAATAATAATTGAAATTTTGAAGAGAATTTTTTTAAACATTTAACCATAATTGAATTTCTGCGAAGAATTCTTTTATTAAAATTTCTTTTTTAATAATTGAATTCTTTTGTGAAATTTTATTGAAATAGTAGGTATTGAAAATAATTGCAAAGGAAATTTCTTTATTTAAATTTGAATAATTGACTTTAAAAGTTGACAATATTTATAAACAAGAGGCAAAGTTATGAAACATTATAACAAATCTCGTTATTTTGTTCTAAGCTCTAACAATGTTATCTCTTTTTTTGTTAAACGTTGGATAATTCAAGTGGTAAAACAGCGTGTCTAATATTTACGATTTTCATTCAAGGACAGAATATTTTTCTCTTAATCTGATTGTATATATACAAATAGTTTTATCTTTTATACTGTTAATTAGAATATTTCTCCACAAGTTCGAAATTATTCAAGTAAATAATTTTTTTCATTACAAAAATCATTTTTTGCAATTTATACTTTTATAATTATTAATTAATTAATAATTAACTTTCAAAAATGGCCTGCAGAATTTTTATTAAAAAATGTATTAATTTTTCATTTCGTAAAAAATAGATGAATGTTTGTTAATTTACAATTTGAAAATAAAAAAATATATAATAAAATTCTAAAGTAATTTGTATTAATTAAAGTAGTAAATATCTTGATGCAAAATTTTATAGGAAATAAAATTATTACTCTAAAATTAATTTAGAACTTGAGTAAAAAAATTAGCAGAGGAATTAAAAAGAAATTAGTCAAAATGTTCGAATCTAAATAAATTCGTTTTGTTAATGTTTGTAATTAAAGAAATAAATATTCACGATTCGAAATCAATTTTGTATACTTGATTTTTCTTCCCTATTAATCACATTGTTCTAAACAATTTTTTGAAATAAAACTTTTTTTTAATATAAAAATGGTAAAAATAGAAAAAAATAAATAAACGTTAATTTTAGAAAAAAATTATTTTTCGTTTTTCTTCTAATTATAGAAAAAAATTGATTGGTTTTATTTTTCATTCAGCTTCGATTTAACGACATTTCACGAGGGGTTCAAATTACAGGTAGGAGGAATGAATGAACTAATGAATGAAAATTACGCTAGACAGAATCATAATTATATGAAACTGAGATTATTCACGTTCTGTGCTTTCTCTATAGAAATAATTGAGTTCTTTAACCTCAGAAGAGTTTGGAATATTTTTTTCTTCTAAGTATGGTATAAATATTATTTTGAAAATAAATTTAAAAGAAAATTTTTAAATATTTAAAAATAAACATTTTAAAAAATTAATTTTTTTTTAAATTTATTTTACAGTTAATAGAAATTTTTTTATTTAAAAATCAAAATTTCGATATGGTAGTTTCATAAGTGAGATTTTATAAAGGAAAAAATAAAATTTTCACATTTTTCTAAATGACAAAAAAATGTTATTTTGTATATTATAGATACCTAGCATTACCTAGTTAATTAATTACTATAACAAATTAATTATTAAAATTGTTATACTAATATTATGAAAGCAATACCGTGACGTAAGAAAACTAAATAATAAAAAAAAAACTTGGTTTTTTCTGAACCAAAGTATAAGATAAATATTTTTTCTCTACAAGAGTTTTCAGAAGTTTTTTTTATCATAAATAATGGATATGTAATAAAACATGTTCTTCAAAAACTTGGAGAAAAAAATCTTTCACTCTTAAAGTTCTCTCACATATCGCCCAGGTGCAAAGAACTCTATAGAGATAACGCGTTTCATTTCTGTCACAAGGCAAAATTTATTAATTCTACTTTTGATTATTCCTATCAAATTTAACATTTAGAATTCAGTGTATATTAAAATCATTATATATACAAAAAAAAAATAAAAATGAGCAAAAACTATTTAAAATCAAAAAAATTTTCTATTTTTAAATTATTTGGAAAGTAAAAGCATTGTTTGATTTTCGAATTTCTTAATTTTGAATAAAAAAAAAATGTTTGGTTTATTTCGTTAACACTTTACTTCCTCATGAAAATTTACATTTCATAAATAATATAAATTGCATTATTAACAATATTATTGTAATTCAATTCAATTCAAAAAATCTATGAAAAGTCATACTTTTTTCAAAACTCATATTTTTTAAAATCTCAATACAATTTCTCAATATTCTAGATCGCATAAAATTAAAAAATAGATCATTCGATGTGTTTTCGAAGCGTCTATAAAATGCATACAAAATATTTAAATTAAATTTAATAAAATTTAATTAATTAAATCAAATTTTTACAAAATTCAATAATTTTATAAATTTCAATTTAAAATTCTTCAAAAATACAATTATAATTAAAAATACTTTTTAAAACTAAAAGAAATACAATTTATTTCAATTAAAGACAAAATTTTCGAAAATGTAAATGTAAATACAATTTAATCTTTTTAAATATTATTTACGCGGGACTTTAACTATCTTCAAAACATTTTAAATACAATTTTTTAAAAGACTAATATTCTTTTCATAATTTCCAAATTAAATTACATTCTAATCTTGAATAATTTTTGTTAAATAAATATTTAAATACTTATTTATTTTTTTCACAGAAATTAAAATATTTTAAATGATTACTATATAAAAAATCTTTTTAAAATTTAACAACTTCAAAAAGTTACATCTGTAATTCTTCCAAAATTCAATTATTTCTTTATTGACATTTGTAATTAAAATTATTCAAAACATTTTTTAAGAAAACAATAATTTATTGAATAATTGAATATTTCTTAACATCGATTTTTTTATAATAAATTTTATCAATATTTTTGTAAATAATATTGAATTAATGAGGAATTTTTATTAAAATTATATTTAAAATAATATTGAATTTATGTAAGATATTTTATTATTAATTTATGAAAACAGTTTAATTACAGCGAAGAATTTTATTTTATGAGAAGAATTGAATTTTTACTTGATCGGCGAATTTAATTAAAATTTTTTTGAAAATAATTTTACTCTTAGGTATATACAGAATTTTATTAAAATTTTTGAAAATAATTGAATTTCTGAAAAGAATTTTATAAAAATCATTTTTTTAAATAATAGATTTTTTCGAAAAAATTTAGTGAAAATTGTATTTTAAATAAATTGAATTCCGGTAAAAATTTTATTATTTATAAAAATAATTGAATGTTTGTGAAGAATTTTATAAAAATTCTTTTAAATAATTAAATTCTTATGATGAATTTTATTAAAATAGGAGATATTGTAAGTATTTCAACAAAATTTTGAAAATAATTCAATCGTTTCTAAGAATTTTATTAAAATCTTTTAGAATAATGTTTTTATTTCAATTT